TAACCAGAGTAGCGAGATTGTTAAGGAATTATTTATTGAAAAACTGAAATATTATTTTAACGGGGCTAACGGTAACGGTAAATTGCAATTAAATTTCCGCCAAGTGTATACATGATGAAGTTGAGCCTGTTTAACTTTTACGATATTCTAGAGGGAATTTACGTGTAATTTACAAATTAATTGCGCGCGAGAGACCTAAATACACGTTTCCGACATAGAGGCCGCGAAATAATTCGATAAAATAAAGTATGCTCCAGAGATATTGGTCAAGGCCGTGCCTCGCTTCGGGGAGGACAGGATTCCTCTCCGGAGCGAGGATACAAAACCGTGATGACATCATGAATCGATCGGTCGTTATTTGTAAACCGATATACGTCGATAATAAATAGTATTATTGTTCTCCATTGAAACTCGATCTGCCGCACGTGTACACACGAGATGGATCGAATTGTTTATCCGGTATTATCAGGTGAGATAATTGGCCTCCTGTGTCATATATATTTTTTGGTATACCATTGAATAATTGAACGTGGAATCTATTGATTGAGAAAAAGAAGAGAATGCGTGCCGTTTACAATGCAGCTGTGTCAATCGTGTAACACGCATGCCATCAGCTGTAAGGAATTTTCTTTCGACACTTTGCTACTGCAAGAAGCGATTCGTACACGAGTTAAACACACAGCACATCCACAAGATCGATTTGAGAAAATCTGTTTAATATTTCCGACAGTAAAGTACATCCGACTGGATTTATACAACTGCGAGAAGAGAAAAGCAGGATATTCTGTGAAAGATAATTTTTCCTCGTTCACAAGAAGCCGGTACGTGAGAAAGAAAGTGGCATTGAGGGGGACTATAAATGATATTTATAAAAAGAATGGCGATAAAAATTTTATAAAATGTACCTTCTCCATGCCTTGTCTAAATGGAAAAACATTAATTAAATAGACAGAGCTGTGCATACATATATTTGCGAACCTTGTTTCTGACACTTATCTTATTTGCGTCAAATAATTGCAAATCTCATTGTGTTTCTTTTATATTAAAGCAAGCAAGAATAAGTGAAAATTCTTAACGTGCGATTCTTGAGTTTTATAATAAAATTTTTATGGTACTATCTCTCTCTCTCTCTCTCTCTCTCTCTCTCTCTCTCTCTCTCATTTAGCTGAACTTTTAATTTGATCTCTTATCGAAAAACAACTTCGGAAGAGATTGGCGTGTAACATAACTTCGTAGTTATCCACAAGTTGTTTATTTTTTTCCTCAATATATTTGCCTGTAATAAAGCTGAGATGTATTACAAATCCGATATTGTTTGCCGAGCAATATCGATCTCGGTGAAGGCATAAGAGGAATTTCAATAGCCGCGCGTAGGATGAACCGGGCGACCGGAAATAACGCGGTTTCACTTGCCGCTTGTATAACCGGCAGTTATCGCATGAAAGTCTTGCTCCTTGGATCGTGCTCCTCATCGTATTATACCACAATCGTTCATTGAGACGCGACTACAGTGATTCGCACGTTTTGCTCTTCTTTTTCTCCTTTTCGCAATGAATAGTCTTCTTATTTTTTTCCTTTCGACTTTCTTGCGTCTCTGATCTGAAACTTTCAGCGTTTGAGCTCACTCCAATGATAATGTTAGTAATATTAGTAAGGATAATAATTAAAGAGTAACTTCATACGTTTCGTTTCACTTTTGTAGAAATTTCTTTTTCATTTTCAAGCTTAATTCATTTAATCAAAGATAATTATAAAATTAAATTTACTTTGCCAAGAGAGAGATTAAGGGGTTTAATTCTTTTTAGGAACGAAAGATAAAGACCCTATCCTTAGGGTCTTTAGCGAGCTGCAATTAGCTTTTCGATCCGTTGAAATTACGTAAATGTTAAGAAACAATGCTTTGCAAAATAAAACTCGCTTCATCAAGGACTGACCCTTTGATTACTGGAGCTTAGGCGCGTAAACCGCCGATTACCGTTGCAAACGACCACTTCCGTCGATGAAAGTAATTAAGCCTCGGCGCGGCGTGGGCCGCATGACGGCATGGCGATAATTCTTGGTGAAGCTTCTCTCGCTCTCTTAGCTCATTACGTAAATCGCCGCATAGTAACTCTCCCTGCGAGCAAACGAGCGATGTTACACAAACGCGGCGGGATCCTCAATTTCCGTCGTATCGCAATAATTTGCCGGCATTCCGCTGTGGCTTCTCCGACCACGATGAACGAGTTTCTTGTGGTCGTACAAAGGTCGATTCATTGAGAAATCAGTTGTACCGAGTGTTCCACAAATGAAAGACTCTAAAAGAACGAAAAGCATAAAAAATCTCTAACATATTGTGCTTTAAATTATTTTTCAGATATTTTTCGCTCGTCTCTTCTGCTTTTTTCATCGTGTTCAAAAACTTATTTCAGATTTACCGAAAGAATAATTGCGAATAATTACGTCGCGTTATTTATGAAATATCTTGTATTGCGAATGGCATGAATTACAAAAGAGTCTCAATTTATTGTATCCGACAACTTCGCTTTATTTAGACTCTGATATCCGAGCTCCGAATTCCGATACTTGTGCAGTACCTTTTGGAGCAATTCCTTTTAGAGAATTGGCACGCGACTTAACGAGTCCGCTTGTAATGTTACACAATGAATTTCCCTAATACGATCAATGTGAAAACAGGCCGTTGGGCAAACTGTTTTTGCGAACATTGATAGAATATTGGCTTCACCTTTGTTAGAGAAACTCTTGCTCACTTATAAATTTAATTTAACTGCAACCCGATTCTCTTTGTTTTTATTTTTCAAAATAAATGAAATCGTATTGGCGTGATATTCGTAGAAAAAAAAATTGGTTTCAAGAGTTATTCAACGTTTTACGTTTCTCTCCGCGTAAATTGTTGCACAATATAAAAGAAAAAAGTAGTTGAAGTTTAGGAGTTAACGCGAAAGTTATATTTAATTTTCCCTTCTTACGTTATTGATATTTACGAGAAATATTTCCCAAGTGAAATTACATCTCCCACTCATTTAGAAAACAAAATTTTTTTTAATTAAAAATACAAATGCAAAAAAAGAGATTTTAGATTTTTTTCCAATATAAAACCTATTTTTTTTAATATAAAATCTATTTGCTCGAAATATTTTATTTGCTTCACCATGTCATGCAAACATATCTCATATCTGTGAAAGTACTCTTTCGCTTTTATATGAACGAGTGTCATTTTGCTACTAAACAAATTAATATTGGATGGATATATTATCAGCGATAATATATGTTATCAGTCGACTTTAATGATATCGTGAAAAACATTTAATTTTTGCTCTAATTAACATTCCATTGAAAATTACGATATTAATGAATTTCCAATCGTATTATAAATTAAATAACGAGAACAAAGAGTATGGAATGTACAATTTTTTATGAAATTCAAAAGAATATTTCAAAAAATGATAACATAGATAAATGATAACGATAGATACATTTCTAGGAAATGTCCACAATCTTAATAATCACGAGATAAGAGTACTCGCATGAATCAAAGCATGACTCGAATCCTTCCATTCTTGACATTTTTATCTACCTTATCCTACAGTATTACACGAAAAGAACGATAAGCGATCTCTCCAGCAAGGAACGTCGCTGAGTTCGACGAACGTCGACCGCACTAATTGGCGTAATTAATTGCAAACTTGATCGCGATGAAAGTAAGTGCTTACGTAAAAGCGAATTGTCGAGATGCGCCTTTGTGACTGACGACGAGCGAGAGTTCGCAAAAGACGATAAAGATCGATTACCTCACGCGAAATAGCGACAGTGAAATAATATTTAACGCTCTTAAATTAGGCAAGACCGTGCAGTTTTCACCGAATTTTTGTTTTATATATTAGTATAAAATTTAGAATCGGGCAGCCACGTTTAGCGTTAAACGTGACGCTAAATTTAGGGAGCGATGGCGGCTAAGTTTGAATCCGATTAACGTATTCGCGGTATACAATTATCTCTCCTCGTATTGCAGCGATAGTAATTTAGCGTTAGAATTTTTACGTTTAATAAAATATCGCGAGAGAGAATCTAAAGCGGCGTGGACGAAGCGAGTTGTTCTTATTTTTAATCGCACTTCACATTTCTTAGCATGCGTCATCCGCGGGATAAATTTGCTCGACATGGTATCGATTTCTAATAGACGTCTGAAGCTCGTTTATTAGACATAGGCTCTTTATAGCTTGATTTGCGTAGTATGGCACCTACAAAGAGTGACATTTTATCGATCTTCGAAACGAAAACGTATTCCTATCTACCTACGATTTCATCTATTTATTATAAGCTTTTATTCTACTATAGAATTTTTTATCTCGATACTTAAATCCGTTTCATTATCGTACGTTTAAGGGAGAGTCAGAATACTACTTTCTTAAATAATCTCATTATGTTTTTGCTAATTAAAATTTATTGTACGACAGATATCTTCAATATCGGCGGTCACAATCTCTAGATGGAGCCTACGAACGGAGACCGTTGTATCCCCCGCACAAATCAACCATTGCGAACTTATCGATGCTACTCGTTGGTACCAAAATTCTCTGCAGAGTATCGATTTAGAACTTTATTGAAATAATGATTTAAGACAATTAAGATATTAATTTAAGATATTAATTTAAATCAACTTTATCAGTATGTTTAATATAACCGAGAGAAATAACGATTTTCGAACAATTAATCTCAATTAATTTTCATTTTTTACAAATGCATAATAGCAATGTAAAATTCTTTTCTCAAAATTTATAAATTATAAAAGTCTTTATTCTTCCTCTTTAAAAAAAGAAGTGTTAAAATCAAAATTTAAAGATTAAAATAGCTTGTTCGAGTGTAAATAAATAACGTTCATCTATAACGTAAGAATAATAAATTATTGCCGCAATCTAAAATTATGTAATAATGAATATACAATCAAGTTTCCCAATATTTTCAGAAAGTACGAAGAGTTAGAGAAACGGACAAAATTGTTCGTTTTGTGAAAATGTTTATTTCATAGGATTACAACAAAAAGTCAATTAGGACAATATACGAAGTATTAAGCGCGTTTATCTATTGTCTATAAACAGCGAATTTCTATTTCGGAGTATAAAGTAATATCTCGTTATGCTTTGTACTCCATATCGCTTTTCTGTCTACTCTGCGAGTCTCTAAAGTTTATTCCTTTAAAGAATCGCAATGAAGTAGACATTGACGAAATTTTACGAGCGCAATGCGAATTAGCAAAGTAGATTCGGTCAAAGTCAAGCTTGCTTTTCGTCAAAATCAAGCTCGAAGATCTAGTCGCTAAAATTTAAAATAGGAAACCTGTAGATGATATCCGCGAAGACAGAATGTCAACAATGAAAATGTTTAACGAGTTCATACCTGGCAGGTATGTGTGATTTTTAACACTTTGCGATCCGTGTGTTTATTACATTATCGCATCATTTGACTATCGGCTGAAATAAATTAATTATAAGCCCGATTATAATGTGAACTGAATCACGTAAACATTTGCGACATAAAAGCATTTATTAAAGTACTTTTGTTATTAATTTTTATGACAACTGCGTGCAATATAATAATTATATGTATTTGACAATAAAACTGATATTTTTAGAGCCATGGCACACCAAAAAATTTACACAGTAAATTAAACGTAAGTAGTAAGGAAATCAACATGTTTGATTTATTATTGCTTATGCTATTGTCTTATGATATACGTATCTACTGTCATTGGCCAATTTGCTTACTGCTTATATTTTACTGCTCAAGTTTTTTGTGCCATGGCTATTGCGTGATGGCATTGTGCCGTCGGCGGACCGCAAAGGGTTAATCTACAATGAAGCATGATATCAACGAGGAGCTTTACTGTCATGACTCGCTCTGAAGACTGAAAGCTCACGAATACCTAAATCAACTTCGTGGCACTCAGATTGTACAGTTTGAATTCTACTTCGCGATAAAGTCTCTTCAACGTGCAATCAGGGTTTGTTGGGGGCACTTCTGGGCCTCTTCGGAGTGGCATACTTGACAAACAAGAATCCGAAAATGATGAGCACAGCGACGATAGTCACTCCGATGCCCAGCCAAAATTCCCCTCGCACGTTTAACTTATCGAGGGCGATCTCACGAAGAGCCAACGCACCGTCAGGTGGCTCGCACGCTGCCTGGATGATAATGTCCTGCCGTTGGATCTGCTTGGGCTTGCAATTGGCCAGCTTTCCCACACTTTCGCTCTTGTGTAGACGCGGCAACAGCAGTGACATGGACCACTGCATTGGGCTGATCTGCTGATACCACGACGGCAGATTGTCCAGGTGCAGAGTCACCCCGCCGGCCAAGGTCATCTCGCCCAGCACTATTCCGGCAAACAACGCCGCCAGATAGATCCACTTGCACACGTGTGCGAAGAACGTACAGATGAGGTGCTGCATTATCAAATACAATAAACCGATGGCGAGGTAATTCCACATTGACATTAGGTTCTCGTCAGGCACAAGATGCAATCCCGACATCGCAAATGCTGGCGCTAGATATATCAGGTAGACCACACACCAAGACGGCACGCTGCAGATGAGCTGGAAATAAAATACAATTTTCTTGGTATTTTTCGCTATGATAAAATTCGAGATTTTAATGAATCTAGGCCTACCTCTAGGAGAATATACATGAATCGACCATAGAGCCCGTCTCTGATGTCCCTCTCCACACTCGGTCTGCTATTAGCCACGTCGCACATCGCCAGGAGGCACAGCGGCCAGAAAAAGATACCCAAACTAGCGTAATGATAGCCTATTCTATCTCGCAAATATAGATTTGATTCGCTAGCGATATCCCAAAATATTGCACCGAGTAAAACACTGAGCGACGCGGAAATGACGATTTTCCGCAGCAGTCTTGTTAACGTCCACGGTTGACTGTAGACGAGCGTTCGTAACAATAGCGCGTACAGTTGTATAAATATATTGGGTCCGGGCATCGAAGGAGGAAGTGCACCAGGTGGACCAGGATCGCTGATAGGAGGTAGCCTCGTTCTAGCTAGCTCCGCCAGATGATCTATCCTCTGCGAGGACTCCAACATCGCTTCCGCCGATAGATCGTCCAGCGTTACTAAATCAACTAGAAAAGAGAGAGAATTCTTATCCATCATATTATTTGTCGTAAAAAAATTATAAATTTATAAGAAACATTATTTTTGGAAATAATGTTTGGATAATTTTGTCAAAAATATTAGCTACGTTTTCGTGAGATCTTAGAATTTAGTTACTCTAAGACAATTTCGTCACGTACGATAGTAATCGGACGGATTCTTGAATGGCGGACAGGGAAACTCGGCGAGGGCGAAATATGGCAGCATGTCTCTTCTAAGTCCGGAATACATGACTCGTCCGCCGGACGTGAGCGCGACTCTCGATACCATCGTCAAGATCTCGTAAGTGGGTGGGTGTAGGGTCAAGACGACGAGACGTTGACCGCGGCTGGCCCACTGTCTCAGGTACTCGACCAGGAAGAAGGCATCGAAGATGTCCAGACCGTGCGTGGGTTTGTCTAGAGCGAGGATGTGCGAGTCCTGAAGCAATCGGCAAGCGAGGGCTAATCGTCGAGCCTCGGAGGTCGTCAAGGTATTCACCAGGCAGTGTTTGGTCGCCTCCAAGCCGAGCTCCTGCAGAATAGCCTCAGCCTCGAGTGTGGTGGTATTACGGCCACCTCTCAGTAACATGTAAAAGCTGAGAGTCTGCTGAGCAGTCAGTCCGGGGCTAAGGCCATTCTCCGTGGGTAGATAGGCGACGCGAGATCTATTTTGATTGCCATATTAATAATAATTGAATCGATCATTCTCGAAAAGGCATTTATTATAAAAATGCTTCAGATATCCGAGAACAAATTATTAAAAATAATCTATTTGGCTATATCCGAATATCCGGATCGCTCAGATAACTCGGATTAGTATAAAAAGAAAAATGGAATTTAAGTAAAAAGTTCAATTAAAATTAAACGATAATTTTTTATGCATGCGATATCTTTTAAATTGTATGATGTAACTAAAGATTGTTTGAGTAGTATGAAAAGAAGTTACAATCCACGGAGATTAAACATGAAGCAATAATTAAGTCGACAATTGAAGCGATAATTGAATAATGAGTAGCGCTCGTTATTCGCCTTATTATTCGACTCTATTTGTAAATTTGTATGTTAATGCATTCGCTAGTTACAGTCTGTTTCGCTAATATCGGTTACCGTTAGCCGTAGTTAATTAAATGTTTCTTTTCTGTTTGGATCATAGCCGATGCTATGATCTAGAAAGGAACAAAAAAATCAGTCAACTAAGTTGAAGCTGACTCACGTTAAACCAACCATGGTTCTTTCATTTAACTATAATCCTTACATTTATGACTGTGTCCATTAATGTGGGTTAATTGTAATTTTGGTTCAACTTACTCCCTATCTTTTTCTAATTTTTAGAACCAGATGAACAGTAAATTAAAGTTAATCTATATTAGTCGAGTATTAATCGTTTTCATTTTTTATATAAGCTTATTATAATTTCGAGTGTAACTGAATATCGTTAACAAAGAACAACCGCAACATTATTTTAATCGAGAAATTTAATTTGCGTATTCATTTTAAAAATAATAAATTTTACGCGGTGCAGATCAAAAAGAAACGTCCTTCCACAGAATAGTAATTACTAATCACGTAATGACATTTAATGATTCATTGCCACGTTACAAGAAAGCGTACACGGTACACGTGACTACAAGGAGATTAGAAAGTACCTTAGGCTGCGTGCTGATACAGATCTTCCATTGAGCAAAATATCGCCCCTTTTTATCCGCCTCCTACCCGCAATCGTCTCAACGATCTGCGTGCCTTCCTTCTCGGTAGTCGCCATAATAGCCAGTACCTCGGCGGCGCCAGCCTCGAGGGTAATACCACGAAGAAGTGGCAATCCATCCGAACCTGAAGCCTCCACACCTCGCAGCTGTAGGTGAGGATGCTGCAGACATGGCATGGGTCTCAATGGCAGCGCGTAACCTTCCGGTCCAAGGATACCATGTCCTGTAGAATAAATGTACGTCGTTCATAATACTTCAGATTTGTTAAAATCCCATAATTTAAATAATTTAGAAGGCCGAAAGAATCAGAAGTTTTTTTCAAAATACTACGAACTAGGACTTTCGATTTAAGGTCAATTCCACGACTAATAGAAGAAAAACCGGAAGAAAGTAATTTTCAGGATTTATGAATATTAAAGATAGAAATAAAGAGACCAAGGCAACAGACCTTACAAAATGACACTAATAAATACAAAGGAACATTCAAGCCCACGCAAGATCTTTTTCGCAAGAAAAATAGAATAGATTATTCTGAGAAAAAGATCTTGCGTGGGCTTGGATGATCCTTTTTATTTATTAGTATTAAAGATAGTCATTTATTTTCGTTCATTGTTTCCTTTTACCATGCGCTATGTAACCGGGATCGATCGGCGCGATGCTGTGTCGCCGATTGGTCCTGACGGCACTTTGCAAGAGATTAGCCTCGCTGGCACTCCTCAACCTCGGATGGTCTCTCGCGACAGTTAATTGTGAATGCGCTGGCTCCCTCGGGACAGCGTGAACATGCCTGAAATCCGGATCGCTTCTTGCTGAACGCATGATTGAGGTTGTATGCACCGGAGCACCTGCACGTCGAAATAGAATTTGTAATCCTGACAATCTTCAATTTTACCCAGCAACCCAAATTAAATGACGAATTGTAAAATAATATAGAACATTTTTAGAACAATTTAATAATTTATTTAAAGTCTTCTAAAAATCTACAAAGTCTTTTTCAATGAAAAATTGATTCACAGAAAGAACGATTTGACTGAAGTATTTAAAAATGTAGCTAGATATATATCGTAGATCTGAAAATAATTTTGTTGGTCAAAATAATTATGTAGAACGCTATTTTAATTTCCTATAATTATTTGAGAAAATTGTCTGGTTACATTAATTAGAATTCCTGTTAAAAATAAGCGAATCAGAATTTTCTGATTAAATCTACTAAAGTTGTGATAACCAGAATTCTGATTGAGATAAAAAATGTTCTATAATGATTCGTCCATTTTCAGACAGTCTATCTACCTAAATTTTTAAATATTTCAGCAAAATTGTTCTTTCCGTGTTGAAGAGTGCAATAGAATAGTAATGAATTTAAAAAATGCAGTCGATATCGAGCTCCAGTTTAAATATCACCGTTCATACCTGCGTGCGACACACGTCGTCCTTCCTCGCTGGAGTCGTAACCGCTGGAACCGTCGCGATTCCGCGAGCTGGGCGGCAAGACGCGTGGCAAACCGAACTTCAAATACGTGTAAGAGTTATTGGCCAACGGACTCTTGGGACCATATCGCGGATGCCGCAGTATGCTCTGCACCGTGGAGTCGCGCAACTGAAAGTTCCCGTACGGAAGAGGCGACTTCTCGGCGGAGCCGAGCGCGGAGTCCGTGAAGTCGGAGTTCAGGTTTTGCCTGCGGAATCGCGGAAATGCGTATACCTCGCACTCATCGACATTCCCGTGTTTAATATCTATTCTTTGTATACAAGGTGTTTTTAGATAATTAGATGAGAGAAAAAGAGAGAGTTAATTGCATGAATGAAAATGCGTTTTCCAGATGATGTGTGTAAGTGAGCTATTTATTCTCCTGAAACCTCTACCGCGAATTGTTATTAAAAAGAAAAAAAAAATTGACAGTGAAAAATGACAGTGCAATACAGTTTAAAGTATTGATATTTCCCGTTAATCATTATGTTCCGCAGTCACGCATGCTTGATAATACTCACTCACATTTAATATTTTTAACGATAATAATGATACCGTTGATGTAATACATGAAAGTACATAGTAAATCGACAAGTCCGATCGGCAATTCCTTTCACATGTGGGAACGACAAAAAAGATGACGCAGCAATGGACAGCATTCGCTTTGGCGTTCCGCCTCCGGTGAAACTTGAATTGGACGACGTACGGTGCGTATATACGCTTACGCGGATTATACGCTTGCACTTTAACTACAAGTCACCTGTAAATCGACCATGCGTGTAGATCCTCGCTGGCCGGCGGTTCCAACCCCCTGGTGTCCAAAGCTCCCGGCACCGAGTATCTCCTCTCCAGCTCCCAGGCCTCCGAGCCCATATTTTCTGGTGGCTGCACAGAGATTGCGGATGCGACCGGTTAAATTTCTACAAATTATTATAAAAGAGAGATAACGTAATATCTCTCTTTTACTCTTTTATTTTAATTACCACGCTTTAACGCCGCCGAGGGGGAAAGTAAAGTAAAGACACGCTCTCTCTATTTTATCAGTTTCAATTTCGAATTCGATCGAATGCAGATTGTACCGATTAACCGAAGCAATTATGTTGCAATTTTCAAATAAGAAAATACGTTTTTTATCTCAAACAGAATCGATAAAATTTCGATATGCATGAGATGGTATATTGTTAGAGAGATAGTTCTATTACATGGATATCCTTGGAAATTGTAATATTCTTTTTCGAAGGATCGCATAAAACATGCGGTAGACGTCTGTTTGACGAGCAAAATAAATTACATTGCAAATTTTTCGAAGAAACTTTCGCGAACGTTTTCCTCGCAAGACCTCTGACACTTGGTATGAATTTATTGCTACTGCCGCCCTACAAGGACGTCCGCACGAGATCGGATTTATTGCGCAACATGTCGGGAGGTTGTTATTAAAGCCTCCGTGCGTACAGAATTTCTTTCGCGTGTATCCCACCGTGTATCTGCTTGGCTCGTTCTGGAAAGTCCTGTAAGATCGAGTAACGTGCTCACGGCCGATTTGACTCACAAGCAAGCACCGAGTAATTTCAAAGGCGTGCCGGGATTATACGGGATACCGGCGTTCTCAACAGTGTATTCCGCGGCCGGATACAGCCGCATCCATCATCGCGATTTCATGACGAATTTATGCTCATATCGTTTAAGCGATGAGAAAATCAAGAAGCAAAAGAGAAGCTATTTATCACCGAGTACGGCTATATTAGATGAAAAAGGCTCTGGGATGAAATTGCAACAAATAAAGGATTATGATTTAATCAAGAATAATAATAAATAATTAGATTTTACTTATCTACGCGGAAGAAACAGTTCACTGAAGTAATCTAAAAATAGCTACAGACCTGAAATAATTTCGTTAAATCATCGAAATAATTATGTAAGAAATTCAAGCTTTTTGCAGCGTTGCTTAAAACTCCTGCGTAATTATTTTGTCCAGCAAAATTATTTTCAGAGTGTCTGGCTAAATTTTTTAATACTTCAGCAAAATCGTTCTTTCCACGTTTTCAACATACAGTGCGTTTCGAAATATACTATCAAGACCAAAAATCTATAATGCATAGCAAGTACTCTTTAAATTCTTTGAAACGAATCTCTTTCTAAAAAGTGAAATTTCACTGAACAGCAAAAATCCTTTTAAGAAAATATCTCTTCAAGAGAGTCAGAGAATTTTCACACTTTTGGAGTAAGATTCACTCCAAAGAATTTAAAGAGAATGTTATAAATATTCAGTATACTGTCAGTTGCTCTTAATACATTTTGGAGTATACCAATCACTATTCAAGAATGTTCGAATCATTCCCCAATCCATTTCCTTTGTTAAATTACAATGCGATAATTTCGCGTGCGACCAATTTCCTTCTTTGGAATTTAACTCCGACTATCTCGATAAATCTCACGCAGTGTTCTACTGACACTTCGAATTCTTCTCCCGACAGAAAACTGCAGGTATTCCGTAGTTCCCGCCGGCGAACAAAGAGGGATGGCCTCGTCGAATTTTATCGCGATGCAGCAAATTGTTCTTTGCCCATGCTTGATCGTCCATAAAGAACGGAACGTGCAGACTGAGAATGTATTGTTAAGCATCTATAAATATCTACTGGATCTTTCACATTTCTTTCTATATATCATAATTTTCTACCTTTCCACATCTTGATCGCTAAATCACTACCAAGTAAATTCATGAATTACGTCTCTATAGAAATAGCTTGTTAAATATTACGTCGCGATTCGAGATTGGACGTCATTATTAGAATGTCAGTTTTAAGACTGTCACTCGCTTTTTGCGTCACACCAACACCAATTCCAGCTTTACATAGAAGGCTGATGGATTGTGGCAAAAACCACGATAGAGATAGTAATAGGTATGTATGCCGGAAATTACCGCCGGTGGCAATATCGTGGCGTATAACAGTACGTTTAATGTCGCAATTATGAAAAGTGGCGCCGCAAAATGTCAGCTAGTTACAGGCTCCAAATAGCCGGGAAATCGATAACTGACTGGTTTCCGTATTTCGCCTTCTTCTTATAAACAGGTATTCTGAATCGGTTGTTTTTACAAATCGCGGAGATCTAAATATTCGCTCATGTTCTTGCATAATATCTCACACCGTCGCGATACGTAGGCGATAATAACTTGTTAAGTGTTATTACATCATGAACTTTCTCGGTGTACAAGGTCTCCTGCATCCTTAATTTGTCACATCTCGGAATTGTATTACGTGGAGTGTATAAGATATCAGGAGTAATGGTAATCAAATCCATTGAATTAAAATAACATTTTTGTTATTTTCAACTTCCATGTATGTCGAAATATAAATCACATTTCTAAATAATTAATTAATTTCTAAGTAATTAATTTCGCTATTCTGTAGTTAAATAAAGAATGTCTATATTAACGTATACTTACAATTAGTAAATATAATGATAAACTATAGAGTGAGGTTTAATCAATTTTTTTTTTGTTAAATTGTTTAACTCTATATTAAGTAGAAACAGTGATAATCTGTAGAAATGATTATATAAGAAAATAACTCAAATTGGATATAATTTGATATTAAAAATTTAACAGTGTGGAGATCTTTTTTTTTTTTGTAATTCGATTAGCTTTCGACTTTTCACGAAACGTACCCAAGATGGATCAAGTTCATGTTTTAAAAATCCTATTCTTAAATAATTACTGCATGTCACTTTATTCTATCTTTTATTCCAACGGATATTTTGTTACTTTATTATGACTAGAGTATTTATAGTCGGTTCTTATATTTAAAACCGTTTTAAAAACAGTCTTAAGATACCATGTGCTAATCACAGAGCTATATTAGTAGCTTAAGGCATTATTTAAGACAGTCTTAAAATAAAAAAAAAAACTATGAATACCAGTCTATATATATTTTATCTTTTACTTCGTTCTTTTTTGAGAAATTTTATATCTTTTGTCGTATTATTTTCTATTTTTCGCCTCATACTATCTTTTTTCATATTCGCATTTATAGAATGTGTCTGTTTCTTGCACGAAAGATATAACTGCTGATATTTTAATTTTTCGCAAAAGTTTAATCGCAAAAGTTAATTATCATTTTGTATCGTTTAATCACAATCTAATTATATATGTTGCTTTCCGCATTCCGCGTTGCGACTCGTCGTGTTTTACCGAATAGCTATCAGGGACTCGTCACCGTTATCAGAAGACACGCTCGTGCCAGGAGTTTTATAGCACCAGGAAGGCGCTCGCACGGAGGATGAATATCAACCTTTTGCGTGGGGACACGTGTATACGTATGCCTCGAAGGAAGCGAATGCAGCATCCCATTTAACGGTGGTGTTAGCGACCTAAAAAGACGCATGTAGCACCTGTTTCATTGCCATTGACGTACGGCAGCTTTTAATGACTTTTCGCGAACACGTTGTACACTTCGACGCTTCAAAATCCATTCCATACCGGGTGTTCAACGATACACATACGTTGTTTCCACTTCGTTCTGATCATTCGTTTGACGTCAATAAATATGATGTAAATATATTGTAAAATAGATAAATAAATGCCATCATTATAATTGGTCATCATTATTATATCTTAAATAAATAACATGACGTCAATAATTCAAAGATTAATAAATAATTAAAATGACTACAGCTTGCTACCTGGTACATATACTAATCTTGCATCTAGTCTCTATGATTTTATATATGATAATCAGAGATCGTAATGTCGAAATTTTTTATTATATTCTGTAGTAAACGTGAATTTTATCTCGAATATTTTTTGAAAGAGAGTTACCTTGTTCATCTTGCTTGAAGAGACCGTAAGCCGTAGGCTGTAAGAAATTTACCAATCAATTTGTTTTTTTCATATTTAACTGTGATTAGTCAATTTCTTAAGGCTTTACGACTTATGGCCTCTTAAAGCAAGTTGTGGACAAGGTAACTCTCTTTCAAAAAATATTCGGGATAAAATTCACGTTTACTGAATATAATAAAAAATTTCGACATTACGATTTCTGATTATCATATATAAAATCATAGAGACTAGATGTAAGATTAGTATATGTAGCAAACTGTCATTTTAATTATTTATTAGTTAATCTTTGAATTATTGACGTCATGTTATTTATTTAAGATATAATAATGATGACCAATTATAATGATGGCATTTATTTATCTATTTTTTACAATATATTTACATCATATTTATTGACGTCAAACGAATGATCAGAATGATCAGTTGACGATTAATAACGTTATTAGCGATTAATTAATAACAACGTCATTCATTTATGCTGTCAATAACACGAAAATAATAACATATTTTCGATGTCGATTTATAATTACGTTATATGGGTGTGATAAATCCACGTCATTTTTACGATATCATTTTTTGGATATCATTTTCGTCATAGGAAGAACTAATTAATGATATCAATTGATGAAATAGATGACCCATTGTTATTTCTCAAGAAACATAAAAATCAACAAAAAATCAAGATGACCTTATTTTTAACGTCAATAAACAGTCAAATTTCGTAACAAAAAATTATCATTTTGACTTTCATGATGTCAAAATAAAATCATATCAACTTTCCCTTTACTTGGTATGTTCTTTGGACTGGGATATTTACATACTTGCGAGTGCACGTTTTAAAATTGTAGAGAAGTCACGCGATAGAAAGTACTTTTATAATCTATAACGAGAATGTAAGATTACTTCCCAAGTAAAAAAAACAATGTCGTTAATCTTAGATGCCATGAATATTAACGACCTCCATTATTCTTTCATCGAAGAGCAAGTCCCATCGTATTCTGAGTATCGCCCTAATAAATTTCAAGGCAAACGTGTACTCGAAGACACCTTACATACGCGATATGTTCTGGACTGTCAAAGGACGATTAAATTAATCAGAGGCATCCCTTCCTATCTGTGAGAGAAGCTCGACCTTGCTCTCGATGGTAATGTAAATCAAACGACGTCACAGATAAATTATTTCAAACTGCTTGCGAAACGCACGGCAAGAAACGCATAAACCATCTGCTTCATTGCTTTGGTGCAACAACAGGTTTTAATTTGTCTTCACGTGTCAGTTTGCGGTATGCGTTCACATTTCCGAGTTCCACGCGAGTGTGAAAACGTATCGGGTGTTCAGCGAATACACATCAAGTACATCTGTTGGACTGTCGCATTGTAATTCTACAAAGTTGTTGACATAGAAAATTGTCCACAAATCAGTACTTAATAATGACAATCTTTTTTTGCATAAAATTAGATTTAATCCTCAACTACAGCTATAAAAACTACACGGACAGAATTGTCTCTTAAAATTTATCCTGAAAATATAGTAGTTGTCGTACAATATTTTAAAAATTTTTATCATGCACTTCAGTAAAATTTATCAAACTTATTATATATTTTATTGTAGTTTTATTATATAAATGAAAGAAATTTACATAAAATTCTTCGAAAATACAATGTTGTCTCAGGATCTATCATATTTTCAGGATAAACTCTAAGAAAAAATTTTCTCCGTGTACATCTAAGTTTTCAAAGAATTGGAAAAAGATAAAGTAAGTCAAATCGAGATTAAAGTTATCATTGGTGGAGCACAAGGTGGAGGGTCTTACACAAATTTTGCCGAGAGATAGAGAGAGAGAGAGAGAGAAAGACATTAAACATCCACCGTCACAATCGAGTACACTGTATCCTGCTTGTAGAATATTCTCATGTACAATAATCTTGTAACAGGTGCGATTTGTTGGCACTTACGAAGATTTAATATCACATCATCGCAGATGTTACGTTTACGTCGTCCAAGTGGAATGCGTAGAATTACATAATCCGTTTTAGCGCGAGCGGCTTAGAATCACATCTCGGATGATACACGATGCACATTTCTTAGTTACCACAAATGCTGATGGAACGACATTTTTTTCCCCTCGTCCCAGAATCTCCCGTTAGAAGTGACTCATCAGCGAGTCCTTTGAAATTGAGCTGGCTCAGGTACAAGAATGTTCATGCCGCGTTCATGAGAACTGGCAAGATTGAAATCGCACACCATATCTTATCGAAAAAAAAAAGAATGCTCGCGCAGAACACAAACTGCCAGCATGTCGTTTGACGGAAGTTATGATCTTCTTCGCAGAGAACGTAAATACACACGATTATTTTGTGAAAGATGCTTGCTAATGTTAATTTTAGCGATGAATTTTAGGACAGAGTTTTCCTTTACATCAATTTTCCTTTATGAGAAACGCGAATAAGTAATGGAACGTTCTGTTCACTCAAAAGCGGATATGAAGCGCGTAGTTTTACTGCTAGATATAAATGTTGGATGATCAAGCATCAGAATGTTGTGTCATACGATGCCGTATGTACGCTAGATTAATTCGCACAAAAATAGCTGTTATATCTTCCGCGGTGCCGTCAGAATGAGAACTACGATGTAACACGTATTCACCGGTGAAGTCATCAGCGAATCAACGGATCAACGGATCAACGGATCGTCGCTATGAAACTCCTTACGTTCGCAAACAGCTGACATTTTTAACTGACAAGAAATAACGGTACAGTATTATATGAGATCCAATAAGCAACATTCTTTTCCTCGACGAACGGCCGATCATTTTTTATTTTCATATTTTTAATTTTCAAAGACTCGTCTAAATCGATGTCTACCGGTGAATATATTCAAAGTATTTACATTCATTAAAATATAAAATGAAACTAAAAAATTCCAAAAATGAAACATTTTGTAAATTTCTCAATATACAAAAAATTAAATATTTCGTATAGTGAAAGTGTGATATAATTAGAGTGTATAAAGGAAATAAAGTGATAAGAAAATTGTAATTCTAACAAAGGATTTACGAGTTGGAGCCGAGATGGAAGATTTATTTCTGGATGTGGCACAACCTCGCAGTCACGGGTGTAAGTTCACCTGGGTCTCCATGTCACAGCTACAACGGTCGACCGATGAGATGTTTCCCGCATGAACAGTATTTAATGTACCCGCATATGAAAGGAGAAAGAGCCTACAGGTTTACAAGCACGATTGCGTCGACGTCTGCAATGACAATGGACATAATTCCCGCTGCACGTCGAGTAGTCCTTGCTTGGTCTCACGATCGTGCGTGGAATGATTTAACTCACACGTGATTACGGATGCGAAACATCGCAGACTTGGCCAACACCTTTCATAGGGAACATCTTGGAAACAATAAGTCGAGGTAAAAATTTATTTTGTAATTAATATATCTAGCATGTCTAAAAAAAAAGAAAAAATATCCATGATTTACGACATTCACTTTACAGTTACTTTTTATTCGAAAAATTCTCAAAAGTATAAATTAATCTTTTCCAGGCAATTGGATCTCTTCAGTGATAAACACTTCAAGTGTGTTACCCAATATTCGAATAATTGCGTTCGCACATCAGCGTGACAAAACTATGTCCGACGACCTACGTCCTTTTCGATTTGCGTAATACGGTCATTTTTGCGACGACCGATAACCGCCTCTCGCCAGTTAACTGTTCATTTGCATATCCCGTTTCTGCAACAGTTGTATCGAGCGACGACCGTGCGTTTTCGCGGTATGAATTTACCATTAAACGTCACTCCAGTCATGTTCGTTGCGGCTTTTTGCCGGCTTTTGCACGCGCGTGCAACTGAATCGACTAATACATAGTACGAGAAGGAAAGTGCGGATATGGCTGCAGAGCGATATATTCGTAAAGGCCGGCGAGATGATACGCTCGGAAAAAACGGACCTGCTGCATGTGCCTATTGCGCGCAGCTGAGCATGTCGAAAGCAGGCGGAAAGTGATGTCTAATATCTCGCGGACGGTATACGTACACCTGTAGCCTATCCTCGCGATACCTGGAAAAATCGCCGGTCGCGTGATCGTTCTTACGACGAATTTATATCGCAATCCTGAATCCGCGGTCACGGTGTTTATAATACAATTCAAGGGGTAAGTGGTTGAAAACGAGAACGTTTGCTCGACAATGCAGATACATGCGATGTTCCCGTCACATAATCAAGTATTTTCCTAATCTCTGTTTTTTGTGCATTTTAGCAAAGTTTCTTAGATGTTCACGGTTTCCTGCTCGACTCACCACTATTTATCGAATATCTTATCTCAGATGAAAAGCGCTCAGATTCAGCGAGCTGGAAAAAAATCGAGATCTTTTGAGCTGCGTAAGCTAAATTGATTTTAGTTTTTTTATCGCATGCAAATGGATCATACTTGCGATTTACGTCAGATAAGTGAAAATTGGAAACTACAACCGCGAAACGTCTCCACTTATTTAGGAGTCCCTCAGCTCTCAGCGAACGGAAATAATATCTCGATTTCATGATCTCCAGAATCTACTGTGAGACTATCCCACGCACTGATTTCTATAGCCATGTTTGTACGCCAGTGAACCGTACACGCGTGTCCGTGTGTACCTAAATAAAGTACACTATGGCCTGGATTGTTACAGTGTTACAGCCATAATTACCAGTACACGCAATGCGGTTGGAAACCGCGATGGAAAGTCTACCGAAAACCGTCGACCCACATAACGCGAGTATCTCAAACGATCCGAAGTGTGCACTCATGGCTAATTATCTCGATTAATTAAACGTCAGCATTCCCGAGATTACAGCTTTACGAAGAAGAGATCGTGTCCGTATCTTTCACCTCTTATATCTGCTCCCAACGTTTCTTATAATAAGAGAAGTGGCACAAACGTTCTTCTCAAAGGAAGAATCATTTAATGCAATTTCCAAAAATTAAAATTAAAAAGGTTTTCATTTGAAGAACAAAGAAAGTAATTTGGAGAAATGCAATTTATATTTATAAATAAAAATCATTTCAACATCACTGAAAGCACAGTTAATATTTACGTATTACATTGATCAAACAGAACGTAGGTGGAAAGTATTTTCGTTGCCACATTCTACAAATAATATGCGACGTTCAATCATAAGAAAATTAGACAGCGGCTGAATGCCGATAGTACTTTTACTACTTCATTATAAGCGATGATGGGCATTATCAGGCCATAAAGCTTCATCGAAGAATGCAGGATATAAGCGGGCGCGCGCGAGGTCAGCTGTTAGACTTTTCAATATTCCGTCGAAGCAATCGATGGAATACACCATCACCTCTCCTCTCACTTCCCTCTCCCACTCCTCGCGAATGGAGGAAGACGAAAAAGGTAGAAAGATCCAATTGAAATTGCAAATCAGTTGAATCACCGTGCGAGGAAGCGTCAAAGAGCGCTCCTATGCGCTCGTTAAAATCTCCCGACGTGACTCCACGATTTCGAGATACGGCCTTATAGTGGCGCGCGCCGTTAATGAAAATCTCGGCAAACTCGCGATATGATTACGTATTCGACATATATATTCGCCGACCATATATATGCCCGATCGAAGTGAACGGATTGACGAGGATTGAACCCTCTCACCTTTCCGCCTCGCGATCGCTGGGATCTCGGATACGTTAATGTGGAAACGCGCGAAGGAAGTAACGACGCAAATCGCTTTTGCTTTTTATTAAAGGAAATGAAAGGAAACACGCGCGTGCGTTCTTGAGAAATCTGAATAAAGATGCTCATATCTTTAGCAAAAGAAGAAGAGAGAAGGAGAGGGAAAGATGGAGAAGGTATAAACAGACACCGAAGACTTTTGCACTTTGTATTGAAATTAGATTGTACTGGCATAGAAATATATGTATTTAATGCAGTAACTATTCCGTTATTCGTATTTAATTAATTTAAAAGTTGAGCGAATATTTGAAGGGGGAATGATAGTACGTCAGAAAATTTGTGTTTAAAAATGAAAAGAGGTTTCAAGTTTACCAGAATCTGGGCCAAAAGGATGTCCGGCGGTTCCGGTATATTTCTTTCGATTGCTCAAATAAGGTACTTGAACAAAAATATAGTCCATTATTATTACTTTTTCCTGCGAAATCCGAAAAAGAGAGCTCTTGAGTAATGTCTCATTGCTCGACATAAATCGGACGCTTTCAGTGTTTGTGATTTAATCGAGTAATAATCCGTCCATTGAGGAAAGTAAATCATTATCTTCGTATGTAATACGAGTGGAAGCAGCGGTTTTGCGCGCACACATGATAGAAAACTGTGTTACCGCAGTTAAAATGTGACGAAATACAACGCAATGTGCGTCACTTTGTAACACAAAGTATTTTATTTCACAAAAGAATTATTTATTTAGCATGAAAATATGGAAAAACTGCTATCTTTAGTAATAAAGTTAAATTGTTCTGTCGACAGAACTATTACGCATAAATAATTAATAATTGTATTAATAATTAAGTTATGAATTTAAATTTCTTCTTTTTTTTATTAGTTTACACTTTCGTTATATCGCGCACGCGATACTTCATCAAAGTAAATAGATGATAATTTCATTAATAATTCTTTTAATACAAAAAGCGAGGAAATATATGCACAGTTTATTTCAGGTTTATGCAATCGCATTTTCGTGGATCACTTGTCAGTGAGTCACATGTTTTCCTCAAAAAAAAAAAAAAAAAATACAAATGGAACATTTTAACACTATATATGAGTTTTTAATTCACGGTTTAACAACAGGGAACCTGATTTTGCATAACAAGAAAAACTCGCTGGTACGGTGAAAGCAACAAGTGATTAACAACCCTGTCGTTACCACTTTTTCAAAGGCTGTCGATCCGCTCTGTAGAGTTCGAAGAATTTTCTGAATGCGTTTTCGTTTCGGAAAGTACCGTGACAATTTCCAGCATGCTGTATAATTAGACACACACATGATACTCTCATCACGTGTAAACAACTTTTCCATCTTTGACTAATTACTCCGAAAAGTATACTTAATAGATTCTTTCTTTAAATATCAAATAAAGATATTTTTCTTATTTTCTTCTAATGAAGAATTTTTTTATCTTATTAATTAAACATATTCTCATACAGCATAAAAAATTACTCAACAAACTTCTCGCTAGTTTATAGATAAATATCAAAGAAAAAGTAAACAGAAAACATTAAAAGTGTTTAACTTAATTCATCAGATTGCGTTACTTTGAAAATTGTCGGAAATAATTAATATTTTCTTTCTAATCTATAATTTTAAAAAGTATTCAAGGAGAAAAAAAAACAAAATGTTATCTCTGATATTTTTCGACGTAATAAAAGAATTCATCTTACGAGAAGTTGATTCAAACCCCAAAATTTAGCTTCGATGGAAGTAGAAGAAACAAATTTATTTCCATATATTCCGTGCAGAATTTAATCGGTATCGTAGATGGACGAGCCTTTGCTCGAGGACGTTCAAAAAATCGCGGAACACGCGTGAGGGCGAGTCGGCGCCCGCAGCGAGGACAAGAAGAGAAGAAGAAGAAGAAGAAGAAAGGAAGAAAAAGAATGAAGACGCTGCCGCGCTCTGATCTTCGTGACAATGACTCACCGGCTGTGTATTCGCGCTGGGCCTTCAACCTTGGAAGCTGGTAGAATCACGACAACGACGCTGCTGCCTTCTCTCCATTCCGGTTCGTCGTCCTCCTCCGCCGATCGCCGGCCGATCGGACTTCTCGCACTTCGCGTGACAGAGAAAAGGGATGTACTTCCCTTGCGTGTGGAAGAGTCGTCACTTTCAGGGATGAAAAAAAAAAATCTTTTTCTCTTAGGTGACGCGTCGTTACCGCGACGCAACCCCGATCCCGTCGTCGTCGACGTCGTTGTCGATTCTTATCCGAGATATCTTCCTTGGCTCGCGATCGAAGCGAAGCGCCAAGTATCGCGCGACTCGCCAGAGTCCTGTTCGAACGCTGGCCGCCACCGCTCACGGAGGAGCCCACTGAGGCCCCCACGAGTTTCCCTCTCCGGGGCCTCACTGGTACCCCTCCGACAAGTTCGCAATGGCGTGAACGCGCCGGGTTCGCATCACGATAGCTTGCGTCTAGGATGGATCCTCTGCGCTTTTTTGCACTTTCGTTTCTCGTTCTTGCCTCTCCTTGCCTCTTTATGCTTTGTTTTACGTGCGACGGAATGTATTCAAGTTAAGGGAATTTTTATAGAGAGGAATGGATGCATAACTTGAAGGTAGAATTCAAATAAAAGAAACGTAAACGTGGAACAAAAGAAAAGTAAATTCGTGTAAAAGTTAACGCGAGTTAACGTAAAAGAAATAATTATTTTTATCGGGCCTTTTCTTTCTGCAGTATTTATCGAGAAGTTGGTCGAGAAATTCGTCAGAAAATTCTTTATTCATCTTTATAATACCATCTTTATCCTGTTCAAAGATTTGCATACATTGCATCTTATTGTTAGAGCAACGATGTATAATTAGTTAAAATTTTGATTTTTTTTTTTGTCATGGAACAGTTATAAGATAAAATAACGAGCATTTTAACTTCGTCTATTTCTAATATAAATAAAGATATAAAATTTATTTTTTGCATCTTGCATTCTCCTACATCAAACTAAAGCATATTTTAAAATTTTAATATATTTCTTGGAATATTACTAAGTAAACATTTACTTACAGTAAATAAATGTTTACTCAATAAAAAAATGATAGTTAAATCAAATTAATGATTTTCCTATCAAATAAATATATGTTTACATTTAATAACTATTTACTTAAAACTATTCAAACAAATATTTATTAAAATTTATTTTTCTGTAAAAAACAAAGGGATTTCGAACGAAATATCCAAGAACATTGTGAAAGGATCAACTATGGGCTGATAGGTAAAAGTTCGATATAAACAAACGTGTCTACGCAGACAAAAATGCGACATATTTTTGTGATAAATACTTCGTAGATCGCAATCGGTATCTAAACAGCATCTCGACTAGTTTACATGACGTTGAAACGCGCACATCGCGTTGCTTACGCCGATGGTCTTGCTCGGGGTCGGCCCCCCTCCAGATCGCGGGCCCGCGTCGGAGAAGACATTCACCTCGAGGAGAGCCAACTCCCAGCCGGATAGCCAGCCAGGTATCGTTACCTGCAACTACGCGTTTCTCGTGTCCCAGCCTCGCTCGAGCGAGTCACTTTTACGCGCTGGTCAGTGCACACTGCAATCCGCACAGCGGTAGCACGCTCTCACGTTGGTGCATTATTCACTATCATCCGGACTACCATTTTGCGAAGTTGCGGAAGATTATAAAAAACGCGAGTGCGGGTGGGTTTCTTTGTTAAAGTGCACGGTGTTCTCCAAGTCACGGACACGGTCAAGTGCGCGACGGATGGATGAATCCGGTGACAGTCCTGCACCTCGGTATCTTCATGTTCCTTTGGATGTTATTTATCATTTTTAATATATTTTTATTCTTATGAAATACTCGTACGTTTCTTTGATAATATTAATATTGCGATTAATACTGATTATTATGATTTTTATTAATTTGAAAAATAACTCATACAGCAGATTTCATCTGACATCTTGAGAACGTCTTTAGGACGTAAGGCGGCGTCTTTAGAACGTTCTTAGGACGTTTCTCGGATGTATGTATGTTGTAGAAATAAACAATTGTTATTTTGGGATAATATGCGAAGTTACGTAAATTGCAATGAAAAATATGTATTATATTTTGAAAGAAATAATTTTAGAATCTTTACTTCTGTAGAGCTTCGCAGATGTTACTTGAGGAATGTGACCGTGGGTACCGAAAGTAATACCGATTCTCAAAATGCTTCCATCTGATTGCGTTTTGGACATATCCAACGTGTTTCACTCCACCTCGGTAGTGATCGAAGGAACCTGTCTCAATAAATCCGAACCTACCGCAGTGCTTAGAGATGTATCAGCTCGCGTCCACGGCGGGGAAGTCCTGGCTATTCTAGGATCAAAGGGTTCCGGCAAACGAGCGCTTCTCGATGTTATCGGTGAATATTTCTGATCATTCTTTCCAGCATTGTATTGTAGCGTTTCGCAAAGTTGCAAACAATGCAGCGTAAATCGGCGCGTAAATCGCTTTTAAGACCTTTGTAATTTAATTAAATTTACCATGGCTAGTCTTTTCTATTATATACGAAAAAAACAGTTTTGTTAAAGTATCTAAAAATTTAACTACAAAACATTCAGCTCACAGGTATGAAAATAATTTTGTTGGATTAGCAAAATAATTATACAGACTCGTTGCTGGAATATTAAAACTTCTTTAAAACTTGTATTTCTTACAAAATCATTTTTATAATCCAGCAAAATTATTTAGATCTGTATCTACCTAAATTTTTAGATACTTCAGCAATTGTTCTTTCCATGTATATCTCATTCATTTTGGCGTCACGCCATAATGAAAGAGTTCTTATAAAAGTATTTATAGTTAAAAATTTTATTTAAAAAAATTAAAAACCATAAAGAAAAAAATGGATGATAATAATGTTCTAGATTCGGCGTATTAATTAAATTTGAAATAATTAAAAATTTCTACTAGCTGGAAGAACGGAGGGCGAGACGAGGGGACGAGTTACCCTGAACGGCAACTTGCTGACTCCGGAGTTGTTTCGGCGTCATGGCGGTTACGTGGCTCACAGGTGTCACCTGCTGCCGAGTTTGACGGTTCGCCAGACCCTGATGTATGCCACGTGGCTCGCCAATCTAAACAATCGCGAGGCCCGAGTGCGACAGACTCTCGCCGACTTGGCGCTCTCGCAGGTCGCCAACCGGTCGGTGAACGATCTCACCAGGCCGGAATATCGGCGACTGATGCTGGGAGTGCAACTTGCCAAAGATCCGACTCTGTTGTTGTTGGACGAGCCAACCTGGGACACCGATCCTCTCAACACATATCTCATCGTCTCGATGCTGTGGTCTTATGCCACTAGACGCGGCTCCATTGTCGTCCTCACTATGGAAACACCTAGGTCTGACGTGCTACCATTTGTTAGTCGCGTAACATTACTGTGCCTGGGTGCGGTGGTTTATTCTGGACCCACCAGGAGTATGTTAGATTATTTTACCTACATTGGCTTCCCATGTCCGGAACTGGAAAATCCGTTGATGTATTACCGTAAGTAATACCGCATGGAACAACGTTATTCTCCTCCCTTCCTCTCTCTTACCCCTTTCTCTCCTTTTTCTCTCCTTGTGATTACCATTTCGTTTAGAAAATTGCATTCATTTTATTTCAACAATCTTTATTATTTTCTGAGTCCTTAGAGCGTTTTAAAAAAGTAATTGATTTAAATAATGACGAAGATATTTAAAGAAGATTAATTAAAATAAATTAATAAATCAGAATTTCGTCGTTTTTTTCAGTATGCTTGTCGACTGTCGATCGTCGCTCCAGAGATCGTTTTCTGGAGTCTAATCAGCAGATATCGGTCTTGGTCGAGAAATTCAAAGTGGATGGAGTGCTTTACATGAAAGAAGGACCGCAAGTGCCTCACAATATGAAAGATACGACTCTTGGTATTATGCATAAGGGCTTAGGACGTGGAATCAAACCCGGATGCTTTTCGACTCTTTTGGCGCTATATTTGTTAGTTTCCTGAATTATAATGATTTACTTAAATGCAATATCACATTAGTTGAATAAAAAACTTAACTAGTATAACAAATGTTTCAAAGCCAATTTTTCTTCGAAAAAGATTTTACTGGCAATTATTAATTGTAAATCTTTTAACATTCGATGACATGGATTATATTGGCATCACACATGTTTTGAAAATAAATTATTTTCGAGTCGATTCTAAAGTCTGTCGACAAAATTAAGATCAACCGTTTTAGGATAACTTATTAATCATATTATTATATTTTAGACGAAGTATGGCGGCTACATTCTCGTTCAATAAGATCGGCCTGGGACACTTTGCTGCTCGTCTGCTGTTACTGCCATTCGTCGTTGCTCTAATGAGTATACTATATTCACATTCAAGTCCCGTACAATCAAGAATTTTCTTGCAAACCGGCGGCTTGATCTTCAACGTCTTGACGTTATTTTACGTAGCCGGAATAGTCGCGACATCCCTTTTGTGTAAGTCGAAAGGCAAATTAATTAAAAAAAAATAGATAATAAGCAGCTTTCCAATCACGAATCTCTAATCAATCTTAGAGATATTTAAATAATTTTTAATGTCTTTCGAATTTATTTTATTCATATCGCTATTCAAAATATGTTGAAGTGTATTTTCTCTTCTAATTTACATTTGGCACTTAATTACATAAAGGTTGATATAGTTCCAGGTTTTCGCGCAAGGTATTACCAAGAGAAACGAGAGGGTCTCTACGGCGGCGCGATGTTCTTGACCGCATACACCATGCTGAGTCTTCCATTGAGTTTCATATCGACGCTGATAACGATCGGGATTTTGATTCCCATTTTGGAACTGGACCTCACCTCGTGGGCGTACGCTTCCGGCATTCTATGGTCCAGTTACGTGGCAGCCGAGCAAGTAACGGTAGCTGTACTGATGGTGATCGGTAGACCCATAACCGGTGCCATTACAGTATTATACATGACCCTGTTATCTTTGATAATTGCGTCAGGTGCGATTCGTAGCTTGAAGAACTTGCCCTATTGGTTGGCGATGGTGACGACCGCATTACCAACGAGATATGCATCTCTTGCGTTGAACCAGTTGGTGATCGATACTCCCATTCTATCTAATTTACCCTACAACGAGAGTTTCACCTGTCCGGGTGTACCTGAGCTTTGCAGGTACCCTGATGGCAAAACTTATCTGATAGAACGTTTCACTAAAGAAGGCGAAAATATCTCCGAGGTGTTAAATGTAGATCTGAATCTGCTGATCTCCTTAGCGTTTGCCGTCGGACTTATTATATTGAATAGCGTTTTGTATCTGTTGCCACTACCTGCCAGAGTGAAGGCGAAATTCAGAGAATGATGGATTGTTGAACGTTTCCTGAATAGTTGCGACTATGTTGGAATCGTGACGTCATAGGCGAGAAATACACGTTAATTTATGCTGTATGTTATTTGTAAATAAAGACAATTTAACCAAATCTAAATGACGCTTTAAAACATTTGTAAAAATGGGCAAAAATTGTCTTATTGTTATTATTCTTCAAATTGTCTATATTATTATTATTCTTCATTATGAGATAATGATTATGACAGGAGAAATTTAATTTTTTACCGACTTTTTTACCGAATTTTTTACTCAAAAAACATAGGGATATCAATTGAAAATTTTGATAGTTTTATAGAGATTGCCAAGTTATAAGATCAAGTAAAAGTAGTGCAACTTGAAATTACTGTCTTAAAAAAACAATATACTTAAGAGACTAAGAGAAAAAGCAACTGAAATTTCTGAATGCTTTTCCTCAAATGCTGTTTTGAAAAAAAACATTCATAAACTTCAGTTGCTTTTTCTTAGTCTCTTATAAGAGACTAATCGGTTGCATCAACTTTACTTTAATATTAAGCGAGGTTTAAAACTCTCTTTGTCCTTATCTAGTAACGTTGATGCAATCGAGTCTAAAAGGCTCGATTACACTAATGTGCCTTTGATTTTAAACGAGACTCGAAAACTTTGTTCCTGTCTTTTTTCGATTTTAAAACAAGATAATAGAGAAAGTTAAAGCTTCGTTTAGAATCAAAGTATTGTACATTGATGCAACCGGGCCTTTTAGAGAGAATATATTCCCTGGGTTTGGTTTTTCGACCCCATTTCAGAGGTCACAGTACCATGTGTATCAATTTTTAGTTTTTGAGCCTCTTCAGGGAGCAGAGGCTCGCTTTATGTTTTTGCATTTGCATTCCTTAGAGGTTGTCAACACTTGACGAGGATTCAAGAGCGTTAAACTACAGTTTAACATCGAATCCGAACAGCGAACGCGAAAAATCGCATGTATGCAGGTGGCATATTACAATTTATAAATCGAAAAATGTACACTAACTCAGCCACAGAAAACAGATCTCTTGTGATCGTTATATTTAACATTGAGCGAAATTCGAATATTTGGATTTAGCGCCGACCAAATGGCGTATGTATTACATTTATTTAATTTAAATTCTGAGTGTATATAAAATTGTAAATAACATTAGAATTAGGAATATCGATCAAAGAAAAAAACGCATATCAAAAATATTAAAAACTTTTATTTCATAAGATATGTTACAAAATCATTTTGTTTATCTAATAATGCTACTTAGTATATATAATATTTCTTTGCAAACATAATCGTTTTGATAATTTACAACAAATAAGAATATATGTACATTTAAAAAATGTATTAACTGTTTTGTACAATATAATGCAGTTAATGTATAGTAATTAATCAAGCATCAATCATAATGTTTACTTGATAATTGAAATGTTGCAATATATTACACGAAAAATACGAATCTATCAAAAAACGAATATATCAACAGAAAACATAATTATGCAATATAATTATACATAATCAATAACTCCATTTATTTGTTAAATTGCATATTTATAATTTAAAATGTATTAAAAATTTACTTTCAGTCATAACATTGAATTATTATATTGAATATCACATTTGTGAAATATATTACAACTTATAAATCGTCGTCTGTAACTTGTTCCATTTCCTTAAGATCATCGGCAACACTGAATTCACAGTCCGTTGAACTGATAATCTGACTAATCTCGACATTATGTGCGATCTCAATAAGCTTTAATCCTTCTCCTTTCATTACTTCAAATACTCCGAGATCTGTGATAATTAAATCTACACATTGCTGACCTGTAAAAAACAAAAGTTATTACATAAAGTAACTAGAAATAATACAGAAAAATATTAGAAAATATTTACTTTTAAAGTATATTAATCAATATTAAATTATTTTTTTATTTTACATGTAGGCAAATAAAAAAAAATTGAAGTATCATCGGTTTTTACCTGTGACAGGCAAAGTGCAATTCTTCAAAATTTTTGGACTTCCGTCACGAGCTGTATGTTCCATAGTTACCACTACCTTCGTGTTCGGCGAGGAAACAAGATCCATAGCACCACCCATGCCTTTTACCATCGTACCCGGTATCATCCAGTTAGCTAAATCTCCGTTCTCCGACACTTGCATGCCTCCAAGAATAGTCAGATCAATATGACCTCTGTGTATGTAAAAAAATATAATTATTAAACTTGTTTACTTTGAATATATTCTAATATTTGTCGTGAAAGGAACATACTAATAATTAATCTATATAAGTAATTATATACAAACCCTCGAATCATTCCGAAGCTCTCATCACTACTAAAGAAAGCAGCGCCGGGCAAAACAGTTACAGTTTCTTTTCCAGCATTGATAAGATCCGCGTCGACGTCATCTTCATCCGGAACAGGACCCAATCCAAGAATACCATTTTCTGATTGCAATGTCACTTTTACACCCCTCGGGATGTAGTTACTAGCAAGCATAGGCATACCGATTCCCAAATTTGCTGCAAAAATTTTCGATTTAAATACATTGATGAGAAATTTGATTATTTCATTCAAAATCTCTCAGAGTATCTATATCTCCAATTCAAATGTTTAACAAATTTATATTTTAAACCTACCATACATTCCATCCTTAAATTCAAGGGCAGCACGCCTGATAATCATATTCCTTGCTTTACTAGCCGGTGTCACTTTCTTAGGCTTTAGGGTTTGTTTCGTCGAACGTTTCTGCAGAAAAAAAATTATATTCATAAAACATTTACATAAATTATATATAATTAAACATGCATAATGATCATTAATTAAAGTAAATAAGCGCCAACCTCAATCCGTTTTTCATAACATGGCCCCTTCACAATCCTGTCTACGAAAATACCAGGTAAATGAATGTGATCAGGATTTAATTGGCCAAGTTCCACAATCTCCTCCACTTCGACGATTGCTACCTTGGCCGCCTTGCACATCACAGGATTGAAGTTCCTCGCCGATTTCCGGAAAATTAGATTGCCGGCAGTGTCAGCCTTCCACGCCTTCACAAGCGCAAAGTCACCAGTGATGGCGGTCTCCAAAACATAATTTCGTCCATCAAAGTGATTCACGTTCCTCGGCTCACCCGATATCTCGGCATTGCCATTCTTGTCGTATTTTATGATGACGTTGCCCTCCTGTACAATGGTACCAAAAGCTGTGGGAGTATAAAAAGCTGGAATACCAGCACCACCTGCTCTTACACGTTCCGCCAAAGTGCCCTAAGTAAGTAATAATCGTTATTCGACCTGTAACAATTTACGAGATTTATGACATACTTTTTCTTGTTTTTAAAGCATTACCTGCGGTGTTAATTCAACCTCCAATTGGCCACTAAGATACTGCCTTTCGAATTCAGGATTTTCTCCCACATACGATGCAATCATCCTTTTGACCCTGTGCTCCTTCAACAATATACCCAGCCCAAAGTCTTCTACCCCAGCATTATTCGAAACTAATGTTAGATCTTTCGAGCCGTTTTTTAATATAGCTGCTATTAAATTCTCTGGAATGCCACAGAGACCAAATCCACCAACCAAAAGTTTAGCTCCATCATGTACATCAGACACAGCTTCCTCTATATTTGTGAAGATTTTACCATTTCCTACTGGTGATGATTTCAATTTTTTAACCTCCTGCTCCACTTCTGGGATATCAGCTTTGATGGAGAAATTAACTGTGCATACCTGTTAAATGAAATTTAAATTAAATCTGCCTCAAAAATATTTTAAAATGTACCTTCAAAAATTAAAGAATGCACTATACTAAGTTGCAAAAATGAGAAACAAGATATACATTCAGAGATACAAAAGTATATAAAAATATTTTTAAAGATTGACGATTTACATTAAAATAACAAATCATTAAACAAATAGCAGTTTCTTAAAACAATTAATTATACGCCAAAGATATAACTGCACAATTTAAATTTATTTAAAATGTATATTGCAGACAGTTAACTATATTGCAATATCGGTATGGAAATAAATAGAGAATTAAGATAACTCTTTTAGACGTACGTTATACGTACATCTGATAACGCAACGAGAGCTGTTTACGCACCTGTGATATTTTTATGGCACCCCGGGAGCCGCTGTTCCAACGCAAAAATACACCGCTGACCCCTCTCAATGCAAATGCCATGGTCACCGTATGCTAAACGCACAATTGTTATTCGTAAGATGTATATGAATCCGTCGGAGATTAAACTCGAGACTTAACGCTATCTGCTCCGATATTACTTCATCAATTCTTCCCGAAATAAATATTTTGTTATTTATCTTGACTGTGTATTCTCCGTTTTTTCGTTGTAATCAGTCTCGACGTGCCGAAATACCGTCTCGCAATAATTGTTAAGGAATTTCGCGCCGCGGAAACCTGCGAAACCTAACCTCTTATCAACAACTCACGCATAGAGGTGCGGACGGTGACTGGACAGAACGGAACGCGTACCGACATTTCAATTTAAAACCATGCGATCAGGAACGTATTAATCTGTTTTAAAGCTCAAGAAATTGGGACTGTGACTGTGATGACATGATTGGGTTGGAAATCAAAGTATAAGGAAGAGGTATAAAGAAAGCTCAAGAAATATTAGGTGTTGGAATTAATTCGTAGCGTTTTACAAAAAAAATCATTAAAAAACGCTACGAATTAATTCCAACACCTAATAGTTTTAAGAGGGAGAGATTTCGAGTTTAAAGTTCATATTAGAACGCACTTATAACAGCTGATAAGCGTGCATTAGAATTTAATTTAAATTAGATATAATATATACTTAGTATTAATTATAATATATAATTATACTTAGAATTTCAGAAATAAAATTTCACAAATTACTAGTGTTATTATTGGTATTATTTTTGTAAACAATATTAAATATAAAATATTATTTTTTAAACAATATTAAGTTAATTATTTTTATCTATCAAATTATTTTTTATTTATTATAATTAGCTATATATTTTTCATTCTTTTTCTTTTTTGGGGCACGGAAACGTTTTAACGCAGGCCTTATCGTGAAATACGACTCTGATAGAAAACGTGTTTATCATGTATATTATGCCGTTTTGTAGCAAGGACATCAGGACTTTCAAACAATTATGTAGATATTCAATATTGATCTAAAAGAGGAACGATTTAATAGCACAACAAATGTATCTTCTTATTTTTTTAAATTGCATTTCTTAATATAGGATCTCCACACGACTTTTTGAAGAATTATTTTATCTACAATGGACAGACAATTAATTAATTCATTGTATAAAAATACTCAAAAAAATATCGTGGATCAGTATTTGCAACATAAAAATAACTCCAAAAGTATATTATATAATATATTTAATCATTTATATTTAATATATATAAGAATTTATAAAATACAATATTATATGTTTTTAATAAACGCAAAATTGTTGAAATTTTTGCGTAATAATGCTAAAGAGAATTAGAGAGGTCCTCAGGTAGAACACGGAATCGTAATTATATTTACAGAACGTCATCATGACGTCATTGGATATTTAAAAATTGACTTATAAGTGACGAATAAGGTCATAATGATATTATGAGGTCATGATTCTTTGTTTTATTTGGGTCTGTTTTTTATACGTGTTCAACAAAAGACTGATTTCCAAATACCTTCGTTATCTTAGATAGCGAGCATCAACTTTTATACACTGGTAATATACATTCTATAAATAGTCTTCAAGACGTTTGGTTTCATAATAAATATTTATTCGATGTGTGAAATCAATAAAGATCATGCCTTTATTATAAAGACTTTTCTCGAAAATGAATATAATAATTTCTCGCACTCTTATAATCATATTGCATGAACTTAAATATGTATTAAAATATATATTAATCCATTCTTATCACTATAACATCTGAATGCTCGGGGAACATTAAAATGTCTTACAAGACATCAAGACGTTCTACAATTTTTGAGAGACTTCTTATGAAATAATTGAAAAGACAAGTTTGACGTCTTTGATTTTCAAACATTCTTTATCAAACTAAAGACATCTTCGCGATGTCTTCTAGACACGCCTGTTGCCTGGGTTGATACTAATGAATACTAATACGACTCATGTTAGAATAATATTATTGATATCGCGCGATACCAACGCAATAACGTCATTTGATAATGCGAATCAACATGTTTACGCTGTCGTTCGAATAATTAATATTATAGTAGTCAGTAACAGATATTTTCCGCGTCTTTTTTTTATAGGGATATCGATATCGATTTGAATGAACAGAATTGTTTCGTTATAATAAGGAAATTAAGATCGGTATTTTAATACAAAAGAAGAGAAAGAATTTACAATAATAAATTCTTCTTTAATACAATTCTTTAAGATAATATCTTTCGAATAATATCGAAAATATTGTCATTGATTTTCTGCGCAATCTGTAAAGAATTATCTGTCTTCTATTTTCCAATTTGAGTTGCTACGCTTTTACCATATGACACAGTGTATGATACAATTATTACGGAATATATTGTAGATTTTAGCCTACATCTTTGCCACGCATCTAGGATCGAATACGCCAGCTCGATTCGCATTTGAGGAACATTCGTAAATCAAATCATTCGTTGATTACGTTCAGCAGAAAAAGCAGCTTTACAACTGTAAAATTAATTCTTTAACTTTTGTTCTTAGCTCCTCACTGGAGCTAAATGTATAAATCAATCATGTTAAAGAATTTTACAAAAGCTGCTTTTTCTGCTGAACGCAGCCATTTTTTAAATAAAATTGTTCAAAGAGAAATGTAATCACGATTGACGCTAAACGCCCACGTCCAGGCCTCTGGATTACGGTAACACGAAAATGAACGAACGTCATCTTCTTCAATCAGAAAAACACTTCGTTCACAGATAATTTCATCGCTTCATTATTCGACGATTGTTATTACATTATTGATCCTCGCGTCATCGATGCCGGCCTGCTCTGGCATCCGTCACAGCGCCCCACAATTCGATCACAAAATCGTCAGTAAAACCGAAGTCTTCCAAGTCGGAGTTGTCTATCGCTTCGGCGAAGTCTATACTGTTGCATTTACCCTCAGCGAGTTCCCAGATTTGTGTCGCTGTAATAAATCAGATAACAATCGAATATCAATCTTAAAATAAAATAAGAGACTCAAAAATTCATCAATAAAACTACACTGTAAAAGTCTTGTTGTCACATGTTAATTGGAATTCTCGTAGATTCAGAATATATATACAGAATATATATACAGAATGTATATACAGAAATAAATTAGACACTTATAGTTAAATCTATCAAACGTTCTAATCGAGATAATTAAAAATTCAATTTATGATAACCAGAATTCTAATTCATACAATCAGAATTCGTTTTATACTTCTTGTTTGTACAACCAAAACTTTTTTTAGTGTATATGTTTATTTATATTGATACTTACATTCTTAAAGAACACATAAAAGCTAACAAAAATCAAAATGACTTTATTTTTATTTTTAACGTCAATAAAAAAAGTCAAATTTGTAAGTAAAAATCGTCATTTCAATTTTCATGACGTTAAAATAAAGTCATTTTGATTTTTTCTTCATTTAGCATTCCTTGAGTTGAACTTACCTAACTCTGTATCAGAGATGCCCATGAAGCTTTCCAAGATAGTGTTAATCTTTTCGACACCTATCGCAGCGGCATCATCAATCTGCGCAAATATTTACTTTAATTATCGCTCAATGTGGTCAACTATTCATTCAACGGGAAAAGCGGTATATCAAAGTATAGTATAATATAAATAAATATACAATATCAAAGTGTGTATGTGTGTGATATCTAAACAATTCAAATATTTCATAACACAGGAAATTAGCACTTGTTTTACTCATCATTTTTGAGGATTAATATTATCAGAGAAACGTTATTCCCGATAAAACTATTTATTTATCTCACTAGTTCACCACTTGAATGCCATCGTTTCTATTTTACACACCTGCTCTACGATTTGTGCGCTACCGTCAGCCTTGAATCTCAAGGTCTCCTTGCCAGATCCATAGCCAAGCTTCTTTCCTTTTTTGAGATCACCACGCGGTCCGATGCTACCAAAGCCATTCTTCTGCGGTTCCACCAGCCTCAATGTAAATGTTGAACCCTTCGGTATATCTTTCAGCATCTTCGCCACTTCAAAATGTCGCCTGCCGACGAGGCTGGTCGAGTCGATCCTCTCGATATGATCGCCCACTTCGATCACCTTTATCCTGTCGATCACAGAACCCACCTTTATACGTTTTATGAAAGCGTAGCCGGCACCATTATCAGTGATCGTCAGGCCCAAAGCGTCATCCGTTTTCACCAACTCGATTTCTTTCGGTTGGCCTGCACCGAAAATGCATTAATTACTTTTTATCTGCTTCATGCAACCTGTGCTTTCTAATTGCAGGAAAGTGCATAGTAACCTTTCTTATGTGCGAATATGAAGTCGCCCACGCCGATTTGCCCGCCTAGTAGCTCCGTCATGTCCACTTTGTGCGTGTTGAGCGTGCAAAAAAGAATCTGGAACATCAAATCTTATTTTATTTTCAACATTTGAGCACTATAATTTATCCTTACTCCTCCACCATCTTTCAAATTTTACAAAGTCTTCTAAGTATTTAAGTTGTTTATCTTTATGTACATTATTAACTCCTTTTTATATTTGGAGTTTTTAAAGGAATACCAATATTTTGATTGTGAATTTTGGAAATAAATTGCAAATAAATTTAAACCCGTGAAAAATAAGTAAAATATAATCCAACTTCTATAATGATAAAAACTCGTTAAAACTTTGACTAGAATTGTTTCAGATTTTAATCCGAAACAATAAAAAATTTGCTCTGTTTCTCGAGAAAATTTTCTCTGTTTTTCGAAGACTCTGTTGACAGAAGAGTTTTTTTGCCGGCGGAAGATTAAATATATTTTTATTAAAAATGTCATCTTCGCTCTGGATTTAATACGATTCCTTCATGACGATTTAACCAACTTAATTTTGATGTCTGATTTAAATCTTACTGCAAACATTCCGCAAATAAAATTTAAATTACATCCAGATTTATTTTCCTAGTTCCCTTCAACCATCATTGCGATACAGCGTAGTGCTACGATGATTTATTTAACTTAGAGATTGCGAGAGAAGCTAAATCCACGTTTCAAGCGACCCATAACGAGTCGACGAGCGACCTGGTTACATCGCGACGACCGCGTTTATACGATGGATTACACGTGGCTCTCTCCTCTTTCTCTCTCGTCTAGTCGAGACATATCCGCCAGGTCGACGAGAGAGAGGCCACGGTCCGTGACCGGCGCTTCCTGCGTCCGGTGTCGTTTCTCCCTACGTGGGACGCTTTGCGTTGGAAACCAAGCCGTTTCCACTCCGAGCAGCTCCATTACCATTAAGTCTGACGGCACCGTTGCCGATTTCTCCAAATGTAAAGGAGGACTCGCGTAATTTTGCCTACATTTCACAGCATTTCGCGGATTCTTACGTATACTTTAACATCTTTAGATAGCATTTAAAGTAAAATTGTGTATTAAAAAAAAGGAAAGAATAGAGTCTATTATTTAGCGAATTGTTCCTAGTATAATTTCAAAGTAAAGAAATGCAGGACACGAATGACCCAAGTATGTACTACATACTTGGGATTAAACATTTTAGTCTTAAGATGTAAATTAATTACAAATCACTGATCCTAAAGCGATTTTAGCATCTTAAAATGATACTTAATATCTTATTGCAGAAAGTCCACAAGGCTTACTCTTACTATTATATTTCAAGACTCAGTAAACGAGAATGGATTAAAATGGATTGAAATTTTTTTCTATCTGAAATTATCTATGCGTATTTTAAATAGCGAATACTTTTTTTGGATTTAATTGGATTCAATTAGATTCAATTGGATACAATTGGATTGAAAAATTGTATTTCCTATTCAAAATTTTGAATTGAACAGTATTCATGATGCACAGAAAAAGCTAATTATTTTTAAATTGAAAAGCATAGAGATATGCTCCATGCAATTCCTATAAATGAATAAAAATACATTCAGGATTGAAAAGCATTCATTTTAACATTCGTAAATCAATATTTCTGAAAATCTAAATCCATTTAAATTCATTTCAATTCATTCTCATTTGCGTAAGGCTGTGTTTCAAAATTTACTGCTAGTACTGAAAATCCATAGTAGACGTAAACTATAGACTTTTAGTACTGGCTGTAAAATTTTAAAACACAGTCTGAGACTATCTTCAAAACAAGAACGAACTATAAATTTATACCAGCTTATAAGTTTTAACACCTAACAACCAATTCTACCTCCAAAGAAACAGCTCAACGAATTAACGACGTGGATTCAGATATAAACGATATAACGATTTAACGAATCTTTTCTTCTCTCGATAAGAAAGTCTCAACTATTTCGCGACATTTATCGCAGTCTTCGCGCTCACCTCCTCCGCAGGTAGGTCGTAACGTTCGGCAATTTTCTGGTACAGTTCCCGGACATTGCTGAAGTCCGATATCAGTCCTGTGGGACTGCCGTGGGCCAATTGGCAGTGGAAGACCAACGTCGACGGCCGCGGGTCTCGGGGTGGCGATCTCGTCTGTTCGTGTTGAAGAGGAGGAGCACCGTTTCCCGATCGGCTACCGGTACCGTTATCATTCGCGTCGTTGTCATGACCATTGTCATTGCCGGTCTGATGCTGATGATGCTGATGGTTGTAATACTGCATACCATTTGCAGCCTTCTCCGTTACCGGCGATCTCGGCGTGATCCGCGCCTTGAACAGCGGCATCCTCGAGTCTGTGAAAATAAATTATTGTACAAAGGAAGACCCCGTTATTCACAATCCGGTGTGACGTGTTGGATTCTCATCGCAAAATTAAGTTATTATAATCGACAAGTTGATAATTGAGAAATGTGTGACTCTGAACCTCCCGCGATCCTTTCACGCTGCTATCTTGAAATGGAATCGACAGAATCGCGAGAATGATTTATGATATCACAATAGCTGTCCGCGTACTTTTTAACTTTTTAAAGGATTTGAACTCATACAAAATATCTAGTTTGTCGAATGTTTATGGATACTGCAAATAATAGTAAGATTAAAAATAATATTTTTCTTTTTACTGAAGTTACTTTAATCTAATTAAGAAGTTACTGAAATAGAAGTTACTGTAATAAATTATAATGATTTATTTTATAGAAAAATCAGTTTTACTGAAGAAGTATTAAAAAATTTATTTAAATATAAATCTGAAAATAATTTTATTTACGTCGCACGATATAATTGCTAAGTTAACGTTTTACCTTCGCGATTTTAATTTCTTACCGTGATTTCTTCAATGAAATAAAGAAATTCGTGCACGGAAAGAACGATTATGTTGAAGTATCTAAAATTTTAGGTAGATACAGATCTGAAAATAATTTTGTTGAATCATCAAAATAATTATGTAAAACGCTCAAAACTTATTGTAGCATTACTCATGTTTGAATTTCCTATAATTATTCCATAATTATATTATTTCCATAATTATTTTGATGATTCAACAAAATTATTTTCAGATCTACCTAAATTTTTGGATACTTCAACGTTCTTTTCGTGCGATGTAATAATTATCAATTTCATTGAAGAAATCACGGTAAGAAATTAAAATCGCGAAAGTAAGAAGTTAACTTGCCAATCGTTACATCGTGCGATGTAATAATTATCGGCTCAACTTCTGCGAATATGTTCGATTCTCAGATACGGTATTGATATAAGATAAGAGAAATGAGAACCACGGGAGAGGCGATTACACGGTAATTGCAATCTCGCGAAACCGTCGGCCACACGTTCAGAAGATAAAAGCATGTATCGACCACATGTTCTATTGCCAAGAGTATCCATTATATGCTCGTTTCTTCTGTATTATATGCAAGGCTCGTAAAATAACTGATGCGACTTATTTAAAATAAAAAACATAAGATAAATTCCAAAAACTTATTTAAAATATAAAATCATAGTAGTCGGTAAAATCACTAATACGACTTATTTGAAATAAAAAATATAAAATAAATTCCAAAAACTTATTTAAAATATTAAATAAGGAATAGGTCACAAGAAATTATTTAAAATATAAAATAAGAAATAGGACTCCAAAATACATTTATTGATTTAAAATAGAAAAACTTTTATTTAAAATATAAAAATAACTTATTTAAAATATAAAGTAACAAATATGTATTTTAAATAAATGTTTCAAATAGTATTTAAATAAAAAATATTTTGATGATTTTGTTTATTTGAATATACGAATATATTTCTAATATAATATATAAACGTTTCAAATTTTTAAAAGAAAATTATTTAAAATTCACAATCGATAAAAAAACTGATACAACGTATTTAAAATAAAAAATATAAGATAAATTCCAAAAACTATTTAAAATATTAAATAAGAAATAGGTCAAAAGAAGTTATTTTAAATAATAAATACTAATTGTTTGTAATTGCGCTCAACAGTATCAGACAAATTTGTAAGATGCTCCTGTTTTATTATACAATTCACATAAAATCAGGGCAATTAATTCTTCGAAACAATACCACATTATGTCTCGCTGACCGTAAGATTATTCATCTATATTACCATGCAACATATTTTATGAATTATTGAAAAAGGATCTGTGAGTTCCAAAATGTATGATTTATTACATTAAGTTTTTCTGATATTCAACTATTTATCATACTAATATTGAATGCGATTAAATTACTTTATATAAACTTTATTACCGCTCGATTCAGACCGTTATTTCTTTACACTTTGCATTACAAAAAACGAGCGAATTTTAATTAATAAATACTAAATAACTGTTTAATTTTTTTTTTATTTAAAATATATATTTTTAATAAATTTATTTGAAGTAAGACCGAGCCTTGATTATATGCTTATCGCGAACTTCGTACGTGAAATCACTCATGCACGGAACAACATGCGTATTAATTAAATACGCACCTCTCGGGTGCGACGTGTCGTTATCTACTCAGGAAACCGACGTCTTTCTCGCAAAGAAATCTCCAAACGCAAGCGGTTTCTACGCCTTTTTAAACAAAACCAAGCCTTCCTTGTCAGTTGCCTCGTTTTCGATTCATGCCACCCAGACCGTCTTTAGTCTTTTTTCATACGGTACTCATTATCTGCCTGAATAATCCTCTTTCAATGAGAAACTATATCGGTCGTTTTACATGTATGTTTTTTTATGTATGTTTTTTTTCCCCTTCTTTGATAGAAAAATGTCTGAGAATGTTTATTAAATATTCACATGCCACAGTTTTAAGTTTCATTTAATCGCACGAGATAACAATATCGCGATCATAGATCGAAATCTGAGATTTAAATTACGGAGAGGATTTTGCTATTTCAGACAATCAACTCCAACGTTTATCGCATCAAACAGAAAATTTTACAACGTATTTACTCTCTAAAACTTTTAAAATGAATTATCGCTCTGAAAAGTGAAATCTTATTCTTGAAGATTGAAAATAATTGAGCCACTCCTTTTTAAGATCGATTTAATTTTTACTCTTTAGAATGAGATTTCACTCTAACAAATTTAGAAAGTACAAATTCCCGTCTTCTACTTATGTCGTTTTTATCAGTATCCATAATATTTCATCGCACGTGTTCTGAGCTATCGCGAAATCTGCGCGACAGCGCAAAATCTGTCCGGCGTCACGCGAGTTGGAAAAACGTTGTTCTTGCCGATCCAACGTTACGCAATGAGGATAACAGCTCAGCAGGAAAATATAGTAAAACTATAATCATACGCTGTACTAACCTACCATACGCTAAACTACCTGTGTAACATATGTTATTCGCGCTATTCGCATTAAATTTCAACCTAACGCAATTGTTATCCAGAGTATTTCAAACCTAATGCGTTTCTCTTCGACTATAAATGTAGCGATGACTGTAGTGAATGTACAAATATGAATTCTTCGTATTTTCCGAGGTTATAAGGTGTATCTTTTTTTTGCAAAAATTAAGTTTCACAATGCATAATTTCTTAATAGAGTATAAAAGGTTAATGAAAGTTATCTTTTTTCTAAAAGAGATAATTAAATAATTTTCAAGCTTTCTAATATTAAGAGTTAATATTTTTCATCAAATATATTAGTATTCTCTAATTTCTTTGGAATGGAATCTTAAAAAAATCTCTAAATAATGAAAATTGAGCCAGTCTTGTAAAAAGAGTGGTTCAATTTTTAATCTTTAAGGTCCGGTTCCACCGTAAGTTTCAGTGTAAAATTAATTTTAATTTTTAAGAATTAGAAAAAGATAAACAATAAGTTAAATACTCATTTATTGATGGGACTGGACTGAAAATAAAATTTCACTCTGAGAGTGAGATTCTAAAAGTTTTAAAGAGTAGAATTACAGTAGATCATGACAGAGATTATGACAAAGTATCTCGTACATTGTCAGTAATTTTATCTCATAATCTAAATGATATTAAAATTCAAGCGATAACGTTTCTCGAAATATTCGCGATGTACTTGTTTCCACAAAAGCAGCTTTGCAATTGTTATAAAATTAATATAATTAATTCTTATCCTTAAGTCAGTCTCTCACTGAATTAAATGTATAAACCAATTATATTAAAAAATCTTACAACAGTTGTGCAAAGCTACTTTTTCTGCTGAACGCAGCCAATAGGACAGGCGGATTCGGTTTACAGGTCGTTGGCGTCGCGTCGCAACCTCTGAGTAATTGCAATTGCAAACCACCGGCGCAGATTTCGTAAACGGCTATTCTGCTACGACAATGTGAATTGTTCACAAGCGCAATATCGCCATTCCAATTGTCTCCGATTACGGTCAATTATATCTGATGAATCCAAAAGGAGATTGTACTGCAAATTGCGATCGGGTTCATCATCAAACTCGTTCGTCATTAATTGCTAGCACATGCTAATATAACACAATAAAGAATTTAAAAAAATTCACGACCCAAATCCGGCTAAAATAATAATAATTTATAGGAATAAAATATGGAACGAGCACACGCATTATATCAACATGAGAGATAATTTCTTTTCCTTCATTAAATTTGGTTTCGCTCTGCCGACTAATTAGTGGCATACGCCGATTTTTATTTGCTTCATAGAACTACTGGCTCCAATGTTTTTACCGTTTGACATTTATTCCACGGTGCATTGGCACTGGAGAGCAACTCTCACCCGAGCCTGATTGTTCAAACGTCCGGGTCGAAATTTACTCGATAAAAACTGCTTATCGCGTCTCCAATTAGCGCGTCTCGCAATACGACGCATTGAGAAAAAAATGTCTGGTTAAAAATGGACGAACTAGAAAATTTTTATTGTATCAGTCAGAATTCCACTTGTCACAACTAGAATTGTAATAGATTTAACGAAAAATTCGAATTCGTCCATTTTTAATTTAGAATTCCAATTAATCCAACCAGACATTTTTTTCATCTAAAGACTGACGCCGCAAATCGAGCGGCAAATAATTACACAACTGTACATAATAATTTCCGACTCTTCGTTTTGTCATCGTCACATTCCTATGAATGTGCCACGAGAGACAAACAAGGTAATATAACAGGTTTTGCGCGATATCGAAATGTTACACAGCGAAAGTAACAGCGCTTTTCTATTTATATACATACATTGTACATATTTTTTTTTCTTTTAAATAAATCTTCTAAACATGGAGAAAAATGGTCATTTTTGTAAGACTGGTAAAAATATTTTGACTATTTCTGCGAAACTCATGATAAATTTTATTCTTGTCTGAAAGTAAAAATTCGGAAAGTTTCTTCCAGAAGTTGTGTAAGGTAAACATACAATTACAGTAAAACCATTCAAGTATTACTTTTTAGTAAAGTAAATCATACTTTCAAGACTTTATACACCTGTATATTTTTTGTCGCACAGTAAAATAAATTTGTTCAGGCTAAGATAAAAAAATACTCGTCGATGAAGTAAATTCTATTGAGATATTGATAATTTATAGAGAGAGATTATTTTCCAAAATGTAAAAAGTACAACTATAATGTACGACGATTGCTCATTTATCAGAGTAAATAATAATTTTACATAAATTATGGACATCTGTCTCTATATAACCCTGCCAGTCCCATTAAAATTTATTAATTCTAGCTCTTATATTACATTTTTCTTCGTGACCGGCAGAAAACTTGTCGGAGGTTTTCGGGACACCCTGTACAATGGTATACACGTCAATACCGTAACGTTACGAGCGAGTACACGCCGGCGAGTACAAATAACACGCAACGCCCGTCCGGAACGTGTAACCGAGAAGACCGGCCTCTCACCTCTTCCTCGCCGTGATCGGCGCGCACCTGCCCGTATCCGTATCCGCGTCCGTATGAGCTTTTTCTTTCACGATGACGACGTAATGAAAGACGCAAGGACACTTTATTCGGCGATCACTTGGAGTACTGACGGAGCAGCGATCAACCGCGACGCGTTCGTCGTCGCAACTGGCCAGCCACCGGGATCCAAATACCCCTTTCTTTCCACTCGTCCGCCCGTTATCGTTTACCCGTTATCGCTCGCATGCTCGATCTTTATCACGTCACAGGCGCGAATGAGATTCGCGATCCGCGTCGAACCGCGAATCCAAAGATCGACGATGACAAAAGGTCTCAAGAACACGGAGGGCGTGCGATAAAGATAAGAAGAGTATATACTTCGTCCAAAAAATATCCTGGGGACGTCCTTAGGACGTTCAGAGGACATAAACACACTATATACGTATTGGAAGCTGAAGATTGCGAATTAGAAATTAAAATTCAGAACGAATCAGACCATTTTAGTTTTAATCCGTTTCGTTCTGATTGGCTGAATAATCTTCACTTCGCAATCTGGAACCTATAATAAGTAGACACGGCTTTAAGGATGTTTTCTGGACGTCTTTAGGACGTCCTTTGGAGAACTCTGCTGTATGGCTGATAGAAAAGGGTCAAAATTGGATTTTATATTTCGTTTCCATCGATATAGATCAACTTCAAGCTTGGTTCAATTTAATCGTCATCTTTTTCTAATTTTATGAACAAAAAAAAGATGGAAAGTCAGTTGAGCAGAAATTAAAGTTATTTTATATTGGTAGAAAGAGGCACGAATTTTATGATGAGAATTCAAAAATCAAATTTGAATTTATGTTCACAATGGAAATTCCAGAAATATGACAGACGATTTAAAAAGATGGAATTAATATATCAATTTTTTTCATAATATTATTTTTAATATGGAGAGCTCGATTAATTTATACTGTTAATATATCAGTATCATCACTGCCGATCATTTATGACAATAATCACGGCCTAACAGTTCACTTATCAATTATAAATAGCTTGTTTATCAAACGTATTGTTTTTAATTGGGTCGAATTATTTCAGAGGATTCTACTCTAAAATTGTTAACTTCCAGGATCGAAACAAAAGGAAACAACGTCGATAACATTAATATATTTAAAATAAAGACATTCTATTGTCTATTTTTCGAAGAAAAATAGAATGTCTTCAGAATAAATTTTCCCACGATCGTACCCATCAATGATTTATCTGTCGTTTAAGAATAATTGATTTCAAGAATAAGATTTCTCTGTTGAGTCTGAAATATACCTTGAAGTTTTCCTTTTCACATATTTAAAGAGCTGTCTCCGCGATACATATCCAAAAAAATATCCGTCAGAAACCTCCGGAAGTCCTCTCGAGGTAGACGACACGGTTCGAGTGAATTCCACCTGCGCGACGTCTTCTAATTCATTTAATACCAACGGCACTTCCTTCGAGTACGAGAGAACATTATGTAGCGGGAGAAAATCGCATGAAGCCGATTTCACAAGCTCGCGTGCCACCGTGAGCGGAAAGCAGCGGCGATAGGACTGATCGTGCAGGGCCCCTTCTTGTGCCAGCTGACCCCCCTCAAGCCCGTCAGGTATCCATCGCTGCGTCATAACGCTAACAATGAGATGCGAACAGTGTTGGAAGTCGGTCTCTGCAAAAGAATTTGTTTAAAAAAACAATACATTGAAAAAATACATGAATATTTTTTGGTCGTTTTACTAATAAGATTCACGTCCATTCCCACCAACGTAGATTAAATCCATCCAGATTCTAAAGATTAGAAAAAGACAAAGAGTAAGTTGAACCGAGATTAAAGTTAATTTACCTTGGTGGAAATGGATATCAGTTTCACAACTCACGGTTTAATTCTTAATCGAGATTCAACTTGTTTCTCATCTCTTTTCAATTCTAGAATTAGAAAGAGATAATGAATAAGTGAGTTGTGAAACTGGATCTAAATCAATTACGAAAGGGAATCGTTTTTTCACCATAAGATGCGTCCATTTGTTTTGGGTTCAATTATAATTTTAATTTCGGTTTTAATTAACTGTTTATCTTTTTCTAATTCTTAATGTTATTGTAATATATATTATACGAAAAAAGGATAAGATTTTTAAAATTAAAAAAAGATAAATTGAACAGAGATTAAAATTAATTTTACATTGATGGTATCGAGCCTTAGTAAGTAAACGTTTGAATGAAGAGCAAAAATAAAAGATAATTGAACTTTCCTGGTACATCATGTCGTAATGCGTTAGCGTATAATGCATGTTTCATCAAATAAATTATCATTAATTACGTATTAAATACATATTCGCTTTCATATGTGTATTTAGATCTTTTATTTAAGCTTCAATGTACAATACCTATAGGAAAAGTATCACAAATGGCATCGTTATTGCCGGGTCGTTGAACGATGCAAAATGCGTATCGTACAATATCATATAAAAAATCGTGAAAAAATCGTGTAAAAATGTGAACACTCTCAAAATTTAATTCATTATACGCATAATACTATAATTCATATACTCATATACTTATTAATTATAAATTATCAATTACTGTCCCGTTAAAACGGGACGCAGGACGCTTATTTTGAAAATCGTTTACAGTCCAATATTATTTTTTGTACAAAAGAACAGATCATTTTCCGATTTTAGAAAGACTTCCGAAATTGGACGTGAGTCACTTTCAAAGAAGTCCCACGTCACAAGCTTATTTCCGACAGATTGCACGTATAAGGCCCATATAAATACCGGAAGTAAAATCGATATTATTAATGATTTCTTCTTTCAAATTTCACCCTTTCCATCATTATTAGTAATCTTGGGAGTCTCGAATATCAAAAGAGATGATAGCTCTCGTTAAATGTAACAAATACAGTAACACTGCGAGAGATATCTTGTCTAAGGGCCAAGTACTCCGAAGATAAGCGTCAATCGCCCAGCACCGCTCGAGTATTGTCCAAAGATATCGGATAAAAATATCGCATAACAACATATTCCCCGCATCGTACTTCGTACAAACAGTAACAACATAGCGCACTTGTTAACAAAAAAACTCAAATGCACTATAGAAAAAGTTCAGTCTATATATGGAATCGTTTGGAATTATAACACGTTTATACTCTCTAATTGCGCTCACATATTTCTAGACTCTTTGACTTAATACATTGTGGACAGGTCGCGTGAGTTCGTAGTTTTCCATGTGCATAGATAATCAAACAAGAATGTTAATTGGTGGTAATTTAATTACCCCATTTTTTACATATTGCGTAATAAGTAAATCTCGTAAAAAAAGCTTATATGATAATTGTATGTAGTAGAATGATTATATACATCACGATGATTTATACTTTATCATTAGTTTCTTTACCAGTCCATAATGTGTTAAGACACATACATAAGTATGTATACATATAAGTATTTATGTAATTAAGTATTTTAGGATCTAAAATCTCTCTTAAGAATTCCGAGACGGAAGAACGCAGAAAATATTACATTTACATCCGAAAGACTTCGTGAATACATACAAATGCTTATACTCTATTCGTTATTGCTCAATCAATATATCTGTATACAACATTCATATCAATTAACGTGAAACAATCATCTAAAAGTTTTATAAAAAGATATAAAGGACAAAAAGCTAACGCGACGTACGTAATTTCAATTACAAACGAGTAAAAGTTTTAGAAGTTACGGGCAGCTAGATGCAGCTCTGGTTGGATGATGAACACCTTTGAGACGCGGCCACAGTTCGATTTATCTTCCATCATCAAGTAATTCCTCATCGGCACAAGCAGCTCGTCGTACGGGTCCATGTTTAGTTGATACTCCTGCATAGCCCGGTATATGGCCTTGAAAGGTGGTTGCTTTTGCGAGTGAAACGTTCCGCGGGAACCATGCAACACCAGAGCACCTTCTCTTTCTGCCTCTGCACATACTGACATGTACATGCAATGGTCGGGCCTGTAGTTGTACCGGCATGAGTATACGTATAGCTTCTCTGGATGATAATGGAATATTATGTTGATAATGTCCTGATCGCCCCAGGTTATCTTCAGTTTATACTCCTTGTGGATGGGAATTACGTAGTCCGTCCATCGGAACTTCCTCATTCTCGTCAGATTCATCAGCATCACTCCTGAATTAACCCCCAGCTTGCCATAATACGGATGCTTGGCGAATCGATTGTACCAACCAGTGTTGGGATCCTCGTGCTCAGGACTGAGGGCTGCCAGCTGACTGGAGTTCATCTTCTTGAAATTGTCCCATACTTTCTCGGGTGGTGCCAGAAACAGGGTGTCTGTGTCCACGTAGAGAACCGCATCCGTGTCATTCAGTACAGTCTAAAACACAAATCCTATAAATCTTGCTCTCAGAAAAAAAACGTTAGATAATGATCATGTAATTTTTTTCCTAATACAGGAAAGTTAATATTTCTCATTACCTACAAGGATAAAATTTTGATTTTTCGTGTTTCTTGTATATAACTGTACATAATTGTGATGGAATAATAAAAAAATATAAGTTAAGCTGTGAAAACTTGATAAGAAACAAGACAAATTGGAGAAAAATAAGAAAAGTGCTAAAGATAATTAGAGATATAAGGAGTTCTTTAAATATTAAAAAATATGAAATGGAGCTGGAATAAGATTTTGTAAACCAAGTTTCTTCCTGACTATCATATATTCTGAAGTAAATAATTCTATTCACTTTTCATGTTTCTTTAGAGAAAAAATTACACAATCGCTACCTTGAAATTAGACCACTAGTTAGATTCACTTACTGGTAGAAACAGTCGTTGTGCCGCACAGGGTTTAAACAGCTTCTTCCACATAGCCACATCGCTACCATCCGGGAAGGTGATGGGCCGCACCAGGAAATCAAAGGTCTTATTGGATATGAGTCGCCACTCCGACAGCTTCTCGCTGAAGGCTGGTATCAAATTCTGCTCAGTCAGTATTATGAATTGTAGCGGCCTGCTGGTGAAGACTAGTGCCGATTTCAGCATAGTTAGGGCCTCGTGCAGCCTATCCCCGCATACGACTACGCATATCGTCACCTCACTTGTCGATGGGGTACTTGGGGACTTCTTCGAGAGCGCCAAGCGCTCCCTGCTCGCTGATGGTTGGTCGTATAGCTTGATAGAGAAATTGGTGGTCACGTTAAGCAGTATTATGAGCGCGGTGAGGATAAGGCACAGCAAGAACAACTTGTATACGGATTTCATCATGTCGTGTTGTGTTGCGTTTTATCTCAAACTGAACAGAATTGCGACGTGGTCGATAGACGACGTCGGCAGTAATCTGACGGCATTTTGGACCCCTTCTAAAAGTAGACGTCAATCCACGACACGTTTGTGGAACACAGCGGGTTCCAATATCGCGTCGTCGATGTTGCGTCTCGCGTCTCAAGTAATGGTCTGCGCCATATTTACGATATAACCCATGATGGAAGGGATAACAAGTGGTCTTCTGTTCCTGGTATCAATCATGAAACTTTATCCCTAGGAAAATGAAAAGTGAAAATTTTCTCCATTAATTTCAATCGTTAAAGTGATAAAAAAGGTTGAGATAACTTGCATTCTTAGGTTTCTCTCTGATAATATTTTTCAAATTTATAATAAACTTCTTGATGTCGAAATTAGTGGTTGATGGATGTCGATTTTTTTTATAATCGGTAAAGTCATTAGTAACTTTATCTACTGTCGATTTTGCCGACAGTCAGTAAATTCAACAGTAATTTTATCGACTACAAATAATTAAGATGTTTAGTTACTGATATCAGAAATTTTTAAATTTTCTTATCTAATGTATTTAAAAACGCCATAAAGACATCGTAAAGACGTCTTTTGGGACATATACATGACACATCCAAAAGAGATCTAATAGAGGTTTTTTTTTAGATAATATATGTTGTTTTTATTCAAAAATTGTTTGCACAAAAATTGTTTTTTTCAAAAGAACTCGCTTCCTCGACTCTTTCAAGTCTATTCTACAATGTGCTTTTTGTTTTTTGTTTCTTGTTTTTTACCTTTTACTCTTAACTCCTTTGCAATCGTTGCGATCTTTCTAAGGTCACATAAAACATATTCGAACTTTTTGATTTATGAGTTTTTATTTCTTTAATTATTTAAATGCATTATATAATAATAATAAATAATGTTACACGGTATGAGTTTGATTGCACTTCAAAGATACTAATTGCTTTTCTACGCTACTAATAATCTTCCAATCTACATCCTGATAAAATAGAATATCAAAATCTGGATGACCCATCATCGCTTTTAATGTCTTTTTTGCATCATTCCTGCAGTTAATATACGTTATATAAGTGTAACAATAAATATTATTGATGATATATTCCCAATAGGGAATCAAAATCACGTTTTGAGATTTACCTTGTTTCGTTATTACCGTCAAGAAGAAATTTAGTACACATTGTGAATATCTTACGGCGGAGGTCTTTGAAATTTGGATTTGACAATAAACATTCCACACCAATAATATTAATAATATTATAAAGCAAGTGACTGATGGTTGCCCTTATCAATGGATTCTTGTGGCTATATAACGTTGTGGTAATATAATTGCAATATAATTGGAGATGTCGATTGAAGCAAAGATGAGATAAAGTACATTCAATCACCTAGCACTATGTTCATTGGTCAATATACGAATACAAGTTGCAGGAGGCAAGTGTGACACCATGGAATCCAAGGCACGTTGAGCGTCATTTCGGATTCCTTTGTTCGTATGCGTGCTTTTCAAAAGCAGCGTGGATGCAAGTTCATCGAATTCAGGTCTTTGAGTACACTGAACTGTCTTGTACAACTCCATCGCTACCTGGCAAGCAGTTCTAACGACGTGCGGCCTCGTATTTCGCAGTAAACTGCGAAAATAATGATGTTACGTTGTAGCAAATAAAATATATAATTCTATGTCTTTAAAATCTCTTTTTTAAATGAATATCATTCTGAAGATGAAATCTCACTCAACAAAGATTAAAATTTGTATTACTCTTTGTCAAGAGTGGCTTAATTTTCATTCTTTAAAATGAGATTCCATTCTCATTCTAAGAAGAATTTAGAAAGAAGAGATACAATAGAGATGCTCCAATGACCTGCATAATGTTCGATATATACGAGGCATGTTGGAGTCCAATAATTCTGGTTCAATTCTCGAAATGTGCATCAGTTTTGTTAAAGCTGATATACTGCTTTGCCATTGGTCCTGCTTTAAGCTCTGCATGGCATGTTTCAATGCTTCATGTGGACTTGCAAATTCCTCTTGTGTTTCTACACAATCGCTCTCCAGCATAGATACGTAATCTCCATAAATAACCGTAGGATTAACATCCTTCGGGTATTTATTACTGAAAGTACACATATTCGAACATGAGTGATACGATCACTGTTTATTGTTATTTATATATAATATATTTTGTTTGTAATTTAGTAATTTGACTTAATTCAAATAATTTGTCCCATGTTAAAATTTTAATAAAATGCGAAGAAATTAAAATGCTCGATGTACCTGTCAGATAACGTGGGAAAACGTAGGTCGCCCGAAGCCCCAGAATATACTTCGACAAATTGCGTTTTTGCAACTTGTGATGAATTTGCATTCTCATGCTGAATAGATAAGGAAGTCGTTTCCGCCGCCGCACGTGAGGCAGACTTACCTTTTATCCAAGACAGTTTTTATCACGAAATAAATACTGGCATTTATAAAAGATTTCGCAATCGACTAATGTTCCTACCTGCGCCTTTGCACATGGGACACATAATATATTTCTTGCATCCCGTATGCGCCATTCTATCACAATTTTTCTTATTATAACACGACGGGGACTATATTTTACAGAAATTCGATTACTTTAATATTGCAGGAATTTGTCTGCTGTATCTTTGTCTCTAAACGTCCATTTTAAACACGTAAGCATCGCTTGCATAACTTTCTATAAAAGTGCTGCTTTGGCATTTAGATAAATTCAAGTCAATATTAACATAAATTTGTATTAATGCCTGATATTGCCGCGCAATAAATTCGATAAAAATTTCAATAAAACAAATCAATAGAGATTACGATGATGACAGTAATGCTACGAAAGATAGCAATAATTGAGCTAATAAGAAAAACTAAGCTAATAAGAAAAAAAATTTCTGTATTTTTTGGAAAATAATTTTCTTACGCTACAAGAATATGTACATTATATATTATTTCTCTATACATTATATTAATTATAGAATCATCTATAATTAAAAAACGATAAAGGTATAAAATATAACCGAGTCGCATTTATCCTAATGAAGATAAATTGGTCCTTCAATAAACTGCAAAACAATAAAAGTTATTTCCTTTTGTCGAGAAAGCGTTTTCAATTGGCTAGTTGCAATTTTCTAATCAAATGGTCTGGTTCAATGACACGTGTCGTCTAAGTATTATATGTTACACTGCTCAATTCAATTACGAACGATTGAAGGATAATTTATATCCTCATTCTTTACAGTTTATATCACAACATAGTTTCAGTGTATGGAACTTCGTTCCACACTATTTTAAAGTCCCAGTTTGTTTCGCAAATGAAAAAATTTGACTATCTTTGTTTTTTAATGTCTCCTAAAAAGGGGTATCAGTTCCGTGTATCACGATGGCGGTTTCTCTAGCGAGATATTATAATCCAAATGATCACAATGTATAGGACACTGATAATATGACACTGCACTAGCGTGGCCGGATCTTCCTGATGTCATAGGCATACCTTGGGCCCATTGGTCCTGAGTGGGGTCGTAAATTTCTACTATATTTAAAAATGTCGTACCATCGTATCCTCCTAGAAAAAAAATCGTACGTGTACATTATTTATGAAATGCCTCTCTAAAAAAACAGCTTTATTTCGACAAAGATTGAAAGAATCATGCTTACCCATTGCGTATAGTTTGCCATCAAGAACGGTGACGCTAAGAGCACTGCGGGCGATGGTGACGCTGCTCACGTTCTCCCATATGTCGTGCTCCGTGTCGTACCTCTCTACCGAATTCAATTGCGATTTCCCATCGTATCCGCCTATAACGTATATATATTGGCCCAGACTGGCCACACCAGCTCCTGAGCGGCTGCACTTCATAGGCGATACCATTGTCCATTCATCATTCTCAGGATGGTAACACTCCACTGAGCTGAGCCGGTCCTTGCCGTCGAAGCCACCGATCGCGTAGAGTAATCTGTCAGGAACGTATTTTTTTACATTATATACCATAAAGATTTAATATATTAGGTATAGTAAAAATAATGGATTTCTTTTTACTACACCTAATATTATATGTATAACTTTTAATAATTACAATGGTATATAAATACATCTTTCATTCTTAAATAAAATAAAAGTAAATAAAAATTTTTTATATGACATTCAGAACATTGTAATTGTAGTTTGAATTAGTAAGATATAATTATCATACTAATCACGTAGCTAAATATATCACGTAGCTAAATATGATTTACTTTAAAATTTAAATGTAATCATTTGTTTTCATAAGCAATTATGTGATTAACATTTTTATCGTTCAATGAATATCAAAGCTTTAACAAATAGTACCTATTCACTACTGCTACTCCTACGCCTAATCTCTTGATATGCATGGGTTTCACACTGGTCCACGTATCTTGATCCGGGTCATAGCATTCGACACTATTGTGATATTCAATGCCTGCGCTGCCACCCACAGCATACAATAGACCATCCATAACGGCGACTCCGACCCTATTCCTCGGTACCGACATCGGACTGCATGGTCGCCATTGATCCGTCATTGGATTATACCTGTCAACCCAGTCGCTGTCGTACCTGAGAAAAGTCGTATGATTTTGTTAGTTATATTTCAAAGATTTAACGTCCGGCTTTAATGTTCGCATTTGAAGTCACCTGCGTAAAGCGGTATGTCAATCATAATTTTTCATGCTGTTTTTATGTGTATTATCTGATAACTATATTTGATATATCGCAGCATAAAGCATTTCTAGATTTTTTAATGCATTTCTATGTCTCCATGCAAAATTAGAGTATTTTTAGGTATTTTAAAGTAAAAATAAATGTTATCTAGAGTTTAGTTATATTTTCTATTTCTTAAAAATACAAGGAAACAGAAGTATAAATATAAAAGTATCACGTTCTAATTCTTTGAAGAGAATTTTCTTTAAAGAATATATAATTAGATGTCTAAATAAGATATTTAAAAATCTAAAAAAAAAAACAAACTTACATGGCACTTTTTGGTATCAAAATATAGCACTTTGGTTTTCGCAAAATAGAAATAAAATCAAAGATAATTTTTATAAAAAGTTCTCGAGAAGAGTTTCAATAAAATTTCATAAGAATTTCTTTATTTCTTCAGGCAGGAAAAGTTTCTTGAGTTTTTCAAGATTTTCCAGACACTTCATATTATTATATTTCCAAAACATCGAACACAATCGGCGTCCAAGTGCTAACCTGCTTCCCGGTGAATTGTGTCTCCCACCGACTGCGTAGAACATCCCCTTGAGAAACGCACCGCCTAAACCAGATCTGGGAACGATGAGCTTCGCGTGTTGCGTCCACGTCTTGTCATCGGCGTTGTAGCCTTCCAGAACGTCGAGCGAGTGCTTGAAGAAACCACCGGCGATGTATATTACCCGCCGCGTGTTAGGTGTACGCTCTTTCACAATCGGCTTCTTGTGCAACGTCAAGTCTTTAAAAATCTGCGCCAGATACTCGCGACACGCTGGCACCTTCTTCAGCACGTCGCAATTTTTCATCTGCTCCCGTAGAAAGTTCGGCGTGAGGTACTGGCAACGTACCGCGTGCAGTATATGCTCCATCTTGGGCCGCCTCGCCTCTTCGTTATACTTGACCCACTTCAGCACGGCGTTGTAAACCTCCCTTTCCTCCTGTACATTCAATTCGTCCTTTCTGATGAGCGTCACCAACTGTATAGCGGACAGTTGCAAGAACTCCTCTTCTTGGCATATTTGGTTAAAGTGCTGAACAATGAATTGATTCGCCTTATGGTACAGGTCGTGGCAACCATGCTGCTCAGCAAAGTTGGCGATGCCAATCGCATTCGTGGGATCGAGTTGTCTTTCCAGAAAAACACTACACGCATCTATCACATTGCTAACCTGTATCAAAATACACATTTATCAAACATTAAATCAGTAGATATCAAATTCTATATCAATATATTTATTAATCTATTTACACTCAGAAAATAAAATGACAGTCAATATTCTAATTTTCCATTCAATAATATAAATGCAATAACATATGTTATATGTACTTAATAGTTATACTATTGAGTAGAAAATTATAACATTGATGTAATGTTACTACTAGTCTGTATTCTGTGATCATTGATACAATTCTTTGTTTTATATGTTTCTTTTCTCTAAAATTATTTGTTACGTACCTGGAACATGGTAGCTGCTGACAGCAGTGAACATACAGTAATCTCAGTAACTCTTATTTGACCAGTATACATGAAGTACATTAAACGAGCCATCGTAGTTGGACAAACACCCTGGAGCTTCACTCTTGTCATCTCGCATTCCTTCAATCCTCCAGTAAACATTGCCTGAAATATTAAAGTTAGTCAACATCAACTAATAATCTTCATTCATTCTAATTCCAGTGGCATAAACTCCTTTGCAAGTGAAATAAGCAAACATATTCGAAAGTCTATTTTTTAAAGGTAAACTTTTTATACTTAAAGTGAAATATATTTTTAAAACTTGACAAAAGCAAAAAGTTCTAGTGTAGTCTATATATAGTTCAGCAATAAAAAACAATCCTGATAGCGATTCTGGTTAAATTACATTAGAATATATATTGAGCCAATATCATGTTGACAATGCTCGTTTCTACCAATGTAGATTCTTCACCTTTTTCTAGTTCCAAGACTTAGAAAAAGATGAAGAGTAAGTTGAACCGAGAGATTAAAGTTAATCTACACTGATAGAAACGGGCATAAATTATGCTACCAGGAAAATCTCGAAAAACGTGTACAACACTGGGTGCTTTGCATTTAGTGACACAACTTGACACAAACATCATTCTTTCTTGATATTCAGAAACTAACAAAGATAGAATGACACTTGTATTGACTTGCATCACTAAATGCAAAGCACTTGATTTGCATACAGCTGTCAAGCTTACCTTAAAGTAAGGACTAGCTGCTGCTAAAATAACTTTATGTGCATGGAACAGTTCGGTACCGACTTCCAGTATCACGTCAGTCAGCATATGATGGCTGCGCATCATAAACATCATCTTCATAGTCTCCTTCAAGTAGTTGGCCATGCAGAATGTCATGTCCCCGAGGTCACCTCGCTGCCGCTCCGTGTTGAGTATGCCCTCCCAATCCGTTTCCTCCCCTGACGCGAATGGGACAGCACCCGGCGACGGAGCATCGTCCCGGGCCTCTTTCTTCCGTTGACAATCTTTCTCTCCATCCATTAAAGTAGAGCTGTAAAGCGAGAATTGCGCCTTTAGATATTTACATACGTTCATGTCATTGCGCGCGCGTACGCACTCCGCTCGATTCTCCTTTCCTTCCCGGAATTCGTCGAAGTCACGGAATTATCACCCGTTCCCCGAGATCGCGTTTCCACCACATTATTCTGACGGACCGACAACAACACAACATCACGACGGATACCCGTTAGCTTTGTTTTCTGTGCCTGAACTACTCAATGAACATCCCAAATCAAGAGAAAGTGTCAAAATAACTTTATTTTGACATCATGAAAATCAAAATGATAATTTTTCATTGCAAAATCTGACTGTTTTTAGACATTCAGAATCTTCATCAAAAAATCAAAATAAAGTCCTCTTGATTTTTTATTGGCTTTTGCGTGTTCCTTGGAAAGTACACTTTAGGAACGTAAAAGTGAGATAGATATATGTTTGATATCCAGCGAAAACGAGAAAAAGAGAGACGTAAGCGGTGCAGTGCATGCAAGTGCATGGTGCAGCGTAGCGTTGGGATGAAAAAAAAAACAGACCTAGATATTGTGCGGAAAAGCCGCGGAGACCGTCACGCGCAATAATAGCAGTGTAATCGCGCGACGCGAGTCACTCATACATGGTGTCGCAGAATCGTCGCACGTGATCGCGGGATGGTTTCCAACGATGAAATCCGTCACGGAGATGATCGCCTGAGTAGATCGCTTCTCCGTGCGTGCGCGCGCGCGCACGCACGCATGCGAGATCTCGCATACGCATGGCATACTTACCCGGCCTGCCCAGATCACCAGGGCAATCTACCTTCGTCGAGGAGTCACCGATGGACGCGCGAGCGAGATGGATAAATGCGACGGATATAAGTAAGGCGGCGTGATCATGTTTCACGATCGATCTCGCCGATGATACACGATGACGCAGGCATCCTCCGGGCTTCGGCCCTGCTCCGATAGATGCGGCGTCACCGAACAAGCGACGAAGTGACAGGCCGACGGCGACACCCAAGGGAAAGGGAAAATCACAAAAATCAAGGAACACAAAAAAATCGAAATGATTTTATCTTTAACGATCAAACTTTGTAATAAAGAATTATCATCTTGATTCTCATGATTCTCAAGTCATTCTGACTTTCTCTTGACTTCTTTTTTCTTATTATTATGTCCCTGCTTGATTTTTTTTCAATCCAAGAAACGGATCACCGTACCATACGTTGAGTTTTGAATCTCAGATCCTGTGATAACCTCCGTGGGAGGGGTTAGAGGCTTCACTTTTACTATTCAAATGTCTTCTCTTGACTTGAACCAGCGTGTTCCTTGAGCCAGGCGACGGAGTCGCTTCGTGTAATTTGCATAAGCACGTGTTTCACCGCCGCACGAATGACGATCAATCGCGGACACCAATACGAACTCGGAAGTCGGAACTTGAGCGGCGCGGGCGGGATTTCTTCTCGTTGCCGTCGACCGCTTACTGTCAGTGACTGTCACCGTCGCCGTCGTCACCGTCGCTCCACCGCCGCCGCCGCCGCCGCCGGCGGCGCGAAAACGCGAGATCGCTTCGTCACGATTTGTACCGTAGATACGCCGGTGTACCTTTGTCCGCGCCGCTGATAGCGGTCGGCCAACGTTAACTGGTTGGTTGGCTCGGCTAATAATCCACCGCGACCCTGACGGTGACTCGGTAATAAATATATATACGACCGATGAATCGCGCGATGGACGGCGCGAGGCGCGTTTAAGAGAAATCAGCGCAGAGAAGGATGGTTTTCAGCGAATGCTTCTTTGATCGCGTCGATTCAGCCGGTTGTTCCCCGAGATTTCAGCGAGCGCGATCGGAGATCGGGGGATCTCCGATTCCGTGAAATTAAATGCTCGCGGAGAAGACTTCGGGAAGTCCGTCGGAGAGGCGAAACTCGTCCGCGAATGTATTTCGTGATCCTGAAATCTCCTTGGAATCTTATAGATTTTTTTTTCATCTATTGTTAGGACAAAGAAGTTCCAACTGTCCGGAACATGCGATTGTGTGTTTTAATAAATGAAGTGAAAATTACGAAGTGAGCAAATTATTCATAGTGTTCACGATGAAATTATAAATATTCTGATAAATTCGCTCACTTTTGTATCTCTCTCTCTCTCTCTCTCTCTCTCTCTCTCTCTTTCCTGCATCTCATTTCAAGATACACAATAATTAATTGACTTCCTGGAAATCAAAATTATGTTTCTTGAAATTAATAAATTTGTTCATTGTAATTTTCTTCAACAAAGCAAACAGAATAAGTAGAAATTTGCATCAACAGAAGTAGAAATCGGAGCACGAAGAAACGGCTGCGATCAGCAAAAAAAGCTACTACTTTGCAATTACTGTAATATTAATACGTTTGTTTTATTACAATTACATCCAGTGAAGAATTAAGAAGAAACTAATTATATTAAAAATTAATTTTATAATAATTGTATAGCTGCTTTTTCTACTGAATGCTAATGTGATTCCAGATAACAAGCAGATGTTATATTTGAAGATCAATCATGTGATTAACTTTTTCTCTAGAACGGAAACGTGAAAAATGAAAATATTTTTGTATGTATTACACACGTTTTGTACGTATTTACATACGCACATACATAAAAATTTTCTTATCGCATTTTGTTCTTGAGAAAAAATTATATGATATCGATATACTCCGAACGAATTTTTCGCGTCATGCCGTAACCGAAGGAACACCAAGTCAAGAGAAAGTCAAAATGAGACTTTATTTTGACATCATGAAAGTTAAAATAATCATTTTTTTTTTGTTACAAAATTGGACTATTTATCAATATATTTAACAATTATTTATTAAGAATCAGAATAAAATCATTTTGAATTTTTGTTGACTTGTGCGTTCCTCAGGTGGGAACCTTCGGGAACGAGATGTTTTTATGACCGATTTCGCAGAAATGACGATGGTACATTCCGTTCTCCCATCCAGGTATAAAAACGAGGGAAAAATTCCGCGCGCGTCCCCGTCCGCCCCGAGCGATGGATCCGACCGTGAAACAGCAATCGTGACCGTAGATGACTCGAATGACTTGCAAATTCTGTCCGCTCGCAGCCCGCCGGCTCGCCTCGATCTCGCGCGTAATCAAGCGAACGGTATTTCTTCATCGCGCGCTTAACCGAGTCAGCTGTTCCGGAGTCTGGAGAAGCCGAATTAGTTGACCGTTCGACGGGGCGACGCGAGATACCCATCGATTAATCGCGGCGATTTCCTCGCGGCAAATGGAAAGGAAATATTTTTATTAAAAATGAGAGGAAGACGGCGAGCGCGATGCTGCGTTGCCGAAGAAAATATATATTCATAAAATGCCACCGATCATTATTTATGATATGTTTATTGTAATCGATGGGAAGAATTAATGAGAAAAAATAATGATCTTCTGTGAAAAGATTAAAACATTCCTTGTATGAATTATTTTGAAATTTATATCGTTTTAAGTCACGTGGATTATTCGCTGTTTTATTCGCACTTGGATAACTATCGAGGCGAATTTAATACGATAGCTGATAAGAGATTGCTGACAAAGAAACGAAATTATTCTGGCAATTCTCGGAGTACAGGCGATTAAATTTTGATGAGTGTCGCCCTCGTTTGGTCGAAGTGAAAACCCAGAGAACACAGTTTACATGATAATTTCAGTCGGTAATTTATATTTTATAATACAGGGCGTCCCAAAATTCCGCAGTGAATTGAAACGTTTGTGTTTGGTTCCATTCTCGTTTTGCGTTGTGTTATTTCGCTGCATGAGTTTGTACTCTAAGTGGATAACATCTGTTAAACCGCGTATATACACTACTCAATCAGCACACAATATTAAAAAAATATTTTTAAAAATGTTTATTTAATATAAAAATATTAAATAAATGTTTATATAAAAAATGTTTTTTAATTGGATAGCAAATGAAAAATATCGCATATGAAAAACTAGGAAAATATTATAGTATATATAACGCATATTATAATATTTTCCTAGTTTTTCATATGCGATACTTTTCAAAAATAGGGGCCCTGAATATCGATTATACAATATAATTTTTTTCTAGAGCAGAAATGTGAAAATTGTTATGTTACACTGTTAGAAATGTTCTTAAATTTTAGTAATTTTTAAATTACACAATTTGAATTTAATTTCAAACAATGGCATTACATTAAATTTAATATATTTATAACTAAAAAATATTTGTGTACATAAAATTTAATGTATTTTTCATGAAAATTTATGAAATTTAATGTACTTTTCGTTTTTAAATTTTATTAAAAGTACATTAAATTTCATTAATTTAATGTACACGATCATTTCATTTAAGTAACTACTGTAACTTAATTTTCAGTTAAATCATTCATTCACTTTTAATTTCGTTCATAATCACAAGTTTCATTTACATGTAAAGGAAGCTCATGGTTACATTTCTAACAATATATTGGGTCATCTAAAAAGTATCCGCGGTTTTTTATCACTAGATTTTTATCACTGGTGTTGACCATCCTCCTAACCAACAACCTAGGGAAAATCACATGATCGATAGATCCGAATTTAGATTTCGTAGAAGTTCGATGTTTGTTGGACACGGACCGAACATCATTTGATTTTGAGTCGCCGTCGCGGTAACATCGCTTGAGACCAATACTTTTATTTGTAAAAAAATTAAAAAGTAATTACATTGTGCAGTAAGTATATAAAATTAATTTAGTAAGTCTTCATTTAAAGTTTTAGTATAATCTTCATTTAAAGTTTTCAATAATTTTACGACATAGATATAATATATGTAGTATATAAAAAAAGTTAGAAAAACTACCGCTGAACATAGTCAATGAATGTTTGCAATCGCGGTTTGTTCGCTTATAGATGTATATTATACGCTGTGTGTATAAATGTTAATACAGTGTTAACAACGCTTAAATCTATCGTTTTTTTTTTTTGTTTATTATTTCTTGATTTCCTCTTTTTCCAAGAATTATTTAGCCACGTGTTTTTTGTTTCTTCCAAAGTTCAATAGTGCAATAGAAAACGAAAAATGGGATAAAAATATAAAAAAATAAGCAGTAAAAAAAATAGCAAGTGCAAGAAACACAAAAAGCACATTTGTGGAATAAGTTGTAAGAGGATCCTAAAGTCACCTATATTATTTTCTATTGTTAACCTCATGTTAACCCTATGTTCAGCAAAAGAATAGGAACCAGAATGCTATAGTTTTACTCTTTCCTTAATCAACGTATTGCAGTAGTTTTGCTCTTTCCTTGCACCAACGTATTGCAATTAGCGCAGAACTTCGCGCCTCTCGATGTCTCTTAGTCAAATATCGTCATCGATTAGTGCACTGTCATTCAGTGAAATAGAGTAATATCTTAATGAATATCTTCACAGGGGTAACAATGGCTCGGGTTCGGCGGGCTGGTCGAAAACAAGTTTTGCGGGCATTAGTACGTGAATATTACAGAGTGATTGATTTTGATCCGCGCGTGTTCTCGGATCACCAATGGATTCAGAATCGCCGGGGATATCATCCAGTACCGGGTAACCATCAGGATTTTCCGCCAAATTACCGAGCCCTTCCATGACACGCGTTATAAGGGTGGTGCCGCTTCCGCAATCGCTCTGATTTTGTCTAATTCATATCTGTTTTTTATTTTTTTATTATTATTATTTTTTTAATTTTTATTTTATTTTATTATACAAATATACATATTAAAAGAGATATCTTGTTGTAAAGGCGACTCCCGAAGCAAGGAATCTCGGTTTCCGCTCAACTCTGATTCTCATATTCATTTCTCATATTCATTTCTCCGATTTATCTTAAAAGGAGCGCGATGCTCCACGTACTCCGGCCGCGATATTCTTTCAAATCCAGAACGTGACAACTGATAATACGACACATAATTTTTGTATTAACAATTACTTTTTTCCTCTTTTACTGATTCGAAAATCCTTTTTCAAAATTAAAGTATAATTAATAGTACATTAATAGTACATGATAGTGAGGTAAAGTTTATACTGCAGAACGACAAAAAATTTCGAAACTAATCGATATCTTTACCATTTCTTAGTTCAATATGGCGCTCCGTTACATCGTGATCACATTTGCTTCATATAAAAGTAATCTGTATTTACGAAATAGTAAGTCCACAGATTAGTAGTTTCCATGAGAAAACAGCGTGGAGTTCTTAAGATTGGACTTAGATGTCTAATTAAAATGTTATTATTACATGAAAATTTATGTGGTGCGTAAGATATTGATGTAGTAATATGTATTGTGATGTATAGTGATGACTATGTATAGTGATGAATATGTATCGATGATAGGTAAATCGTGTAAGTACATATTTTATAATATGTAACTAAGAATTCAAAAATATGTGTATATAAATATATTTATTATACTTTTAATAAAAATATTTAATTTGTATAATTATCAAAGTATGATTTATTCTTACACAAAATTAAGAAATAGAAAAAACTAGAAAAAGAATGTAAATAATTTTTGACTGAAAGAAGAACTCATAATTCATAACGTGAAAGTGAAATTTCCCATTTTTATATACAATATATGGTAACCTAAAAATTAAAGATTATCAATGAAATTCATTCATAATCGAATCTTAGAGATACTGTCAGAATAGAAATGAAATGAAACAGAAATTCGTTTCATAAATCGGAAATAAAAAGAATTCTTTCTGTGCTATCTGGAAAACTTCTTTACGATATCTTATATAAGTTTTTTTTCAAATTGAGAAAACAATCCGTTTTCAATGTATCATTCTGTAAATTGTTATATTTTGTATATAGAATATCGATCGTATTATATTAATAATTAATAACATATTTCAAAATTAATAATTAATAATTAATAACATATTTCAACAATCTCTAGAATAAATTAAATACTAGTCTGATACAATTACGGTTGGATACAGGATTCTGCGGTTTGATTTATTGTACTATAGAGAATAATCGCAATAAAACTTGACGTTTTCTCGTTTTTTGCACACAGATAAGTAATATATTCTGATAGCTCCTCTACTCTCGTCAACATACAAATATTCAAATGAGGGAGTCGGCTGATTTCAAAAGACAGTATTTTTTTTTTAAATAGCATCGTACGTTTCGCAAAATCTCTTTCAAATCTTCCACATCAATCTCCTCGCGATCTTTGATCCGCATCACATTTCTACGTTTCCCGGAATCTGGACTTGATCATTAATTCTATTTGTTCTCTTTGTAGTGTGCATGTTCATTTCTCATCCAATGTATTAGGTGTTGGAATTAATTCGTAGCGTTTTTTAATGAAAGAATGTTATTTATTTCACATGAGCATTAAAAAATACATTAATGAAAGTACTTCCCATCACTTGTAAAACGCTACGAATTAATTCCAACACCTAATAGAATCTAACTTTTAATCTCTCTTTATTATACTCTTCATCTTTTTCTTAGAACCGAAATAAATAAGTTATCTATACATTGATGGAAATAGGCGTTACAGGCTTAGACTAGAGGAATTTTGCAATTTATATATTATATATATCAATGCAGTTCCTTCTTTAAAACTGTGATGAATCCGTTCATGTACGTTGAGCACGATCATATACAGGAATACCATAGTATTTTTTCCGAAAAATTTCTTTAAATTGCGTCAGTTGAATCATGTATCAAGGAAATGTATGAACATCAGTTCCGATTGCGAGGAGCAAAAAACGTGCTATCTTCATCAAGCTGCAATGATAATAAGTGAAAAGGGAAGGACAAGGTGACAGAATCTATACTCTCTGAATTCTTTGAAGTAGAATCTCGCTCTTAAAAAGTGAAAATTGTCAGTCTTGAAAAAGAGTAACTCAACAATTTTCAATCTTTAAGAGTGAGATTTCACTCTTCAGAGTGAAATTCACTCTAAAAGTTTTAGAATGTATAGATGACTCAGTTAATTCACACTTAATGAATACAATTTTTACACAAAGGTACGGACGCTTCTGAGAAGATGGTCGAATATGCGAATAGGACGCATGCTATCGACGAAGTGCTCAGAGACTTCGAGACATTGAACATTCAGACAAAAGATTTGCCCGAGAAATACATCGCTGAGTTGGACGTCATACATCCGTTTCCTGTTTTGCATTTTTGCAATGATATCCGGTAAGGAACTTTTCATTTTGTATCCAAGTAACATGTGATAATATTATCTTGACCATTTATACATGAAATCTTGATAAGAAGTATTAGGATATGAACTTCGACCAAACTCTTAACTTATATAATCGGTTAATTTGATCTCAAGACAAAATTTTTAATATTCATTTTTATTAATTTTTTTTCGAAACATTAAATATAATTCTATTAATTAATTCTAATAATTAAATAATTTACTTTTATATTTATATTATTTAATTAAAACAGTGCTGATCAAGTTAATGGAAGACTGATTTGATTGAAGTCACTCTGACTTTTCATCAAAACGTCATATAAAGTTTTAGATGATATCTAAGATTTGATGAGTCATCTTAATTTTATTATCATGACAATCAAGTGTTATAAAACTTGTACAAGATAATCCTTTGAAGTATTTCCTTACTTCCGTAACGCGATAAAACGCATTTCGAAAGTAAAGCTGATTCGAGTTTCACATGTTGACTTAATATCATTGCTCGAGAATGTAATATAGATTGCAGATTCTAGGAAATAATCACGTTTATCTCTGTTGATAGACAGGGATTTGAGAACATTTACAATATGCTTCGACCTGGCGGGACTTTCTATATGATGAGTATCTTCTCATGACATGAAAATGATTTAAAATCTTGAAATTATGACAGAGAACAAGCGCTTTGCATCATATTTGTACGTGAGTATCGCTGTGTAAGTTATTTTACTACCTTATAACTTTCCTGAGTTGCTAATCGCTACGCCATGCTTTCACGTAGGACGTGAAGAAATACACCGCGCCGTTTCCAGATACGGACAGGCCTCACATAGCATTAAAAGAATTACTTCAGAGTATCGGATTTACGGTTTACTATTGCAATACCCGAAATGTGAACGACAATAGTCCGTACGATGAAAAGCGTAAGTACTCTAATGCCCGTTTCTACCGTTCAATGTAGGTCAATTTAATCTTTAACTACCTTACCTTTTTTTAATTCTAAGAATTAAAAAAAGGTGAAGAGTAAATTAAACCGAGATTAAAGTTAATCAATACTGATAGAAACAGGCATAAAATTTGTCATTTACGACATAAATTTTTTGCCTTCATTGAAGAAAATATAAATTCACATTAATTTCATTACTCCCCTTTTCGTGATTTCAGCATTCGTTATGTCTGTCTTTTCATTTTTGCACGAGATGCCATCTGGTCGAGCGAAGAACTTCAAAAAGGAGTTTATAGGTGAATATACGTGAAAATAACGAAAGGAAAATACAAGCATAATGATGAACCGCTGACGCTGTACAGATACAAACTACTAATAGTGAAAGCATGAAAAAACTAGAATAGATAATAATCATGTATGAGTGATATTGTGTAATAATTACGTGTACATATTATTTAAATTATTTGTAGAAAATTCATTATCGGCCGATTTATTATTATATACTTATTAGTCAAATATTATACATTTATAGATAAAAGATAAGAAAAAATTTGGTTGTTAAATTTAGAGGAAATTGAAGAATATTCCAAGCAGAACGAGTCACGATAATAACATCAAAATGATATTAAAATAAATCGGAAATGATTGAAAAATGACTTTTAATTATCATTTTGGAGTTATTTTGACATCATTTTGATATCATAATGATTTATTGTTCTTCTTGGGATGCTTTTATCTTTCGCAATCATTCTTAATACTATTTGTTATCTAACAAAACTAAAACGAGGATGAGATGTGTGTGTACATATATATCATATAACTACGCTTTGAGATAATATATTTATTTCTTATTAATATGGAGTTTTCATCAACAATAACAGTGTAGCAGTAGGCGTAACAAGAGAGACGAGGTAGGTTACGAGGAACCTATCCTAATGTCGTACGCCAACAAGTCACCGCGGTTGGAAGGGATCTTCGTGGCGTCTATTCCTTCGTTCTTCGTTCATCATATTTATGTGCTACGACGCCGAGCTATCGGTCGCTAATCGAAGAGGAGCCGGACGCGTGATCCAAATCGTCTCCTCCACGTGTAAAATCTTGGCTTGGCACGTTCATTTAATCCTCGAGTTACGTTATCGCGAAGCATGTGCGGTCTTATCGGGCATGCTTCAAGCGATTCGTAACACAACGAATATATATTCGAAGTGTCATGTTTCAAGACTAGAAGAATATTTCATCGCTCTTGATATTCATCTTGATACTGGAAACTGGGATCTCTCGCTTTTCGTCGTTTTACCATCTCTGTTTCGCACGTGAAGTAACGTCGTGTCATTAAATGCACAAAGAAAGAATAGAGTAATAGTATGAGTTAAGAACAACCCGATAATTACGACCGCTCGAGGATTAAACTGTCGCTTATGCATTACGGTTCGCATTTAATAATGTGCAGCGAGAAACGAGGTACACGCCACGGTAACCCATTTTTTTTGCAGTTATACGAAACGGAAGAGCCACATGCTATGTTAATCTCTTACGATTAATTATTCCGTAAAGTCTAACGCGTTACATTACGTTATAGCCGATCCTTCCTTACCAAGTAACAAATCAAGACGTCGCATACTGGAAGGAAAATCTATAGCTGCAACAGCTGACGGAGATTTCTCGGTATTATTTGTCGCGATTGTGCGTTGACGCGTTTAAGGAGCATGGAGACGATGCAACTTAATAATATAATAATTTATTTTCATTTCAAATAAGAAAAAGTGTTAACATGCTAACAGTTTGCCGGTTTGGCATCAAGTGTCTATCGATATAATTTAATAGTAGATTGTCAGCAGAAACCGAGCAAAATTTATTATTTCCAAAAAAAAATACACGGCATATTCTATTTAAATGAAACGTATCATTTAAATGGAACATCGTTTAAATGATTATGAAATAGTAAATTTCTGCTGGTAATGCTACGTTCCATTAGCAGATTTTATTTTCGCTGAACAGCCAATAAAATTTGTGGTGAAAATTACTTTGTGAAATCTATTTCTGATAAATTCTATCTAGCTATCTATAGGGACGAAAAATTAAAAAATTGCATTATTGAAAATTAATATTGAAAATTGTCTTAAAGTGATAACTGAAAATGTAATAAGCGCCGCGAAATTAATCATTCGCGAATATAGAGCGATATTCGCTTTGCAAAGATAAAGACTGCGGAGTAAACACTGGACAGCAGCATGCGAGACATTTGCATATTAATTCATCACTTAGCAGGATAGGACCCATTCGTTCGACAATATCAAATAGTGGTATTACTTGGCAGGATTCCAAAATCAACGTAACAACAGTTCAAATTATGGCAGTGCTTCGTAGAATAATCTTATTGCCCGTTAGTGAGTGAATTAATATGATGCCATTAATCAACGCGATAATGATAATGAGAGTGACTCGATCATGTGATCCGATAACTCAATCCGCCGTGTTTCTCGGAACCTACGGACTCTTCTTTGTCCTAATTGGTGTATTCGTTTGCCTTCTTTCGTCTTTTTCACGAGTTTTTCTATTTTTTTTTTTTTTCCCCTTTTACTTATCCTCTTTCGTCATCTATTACGTCGACTTACGACAATCTTACGATTTTCTTCGCACAAGTGATACATTTCGGGCCGTACCCGTTCTCACTCGCACCGTCGCGTCGTCGAGAACACGAGATGCGCGGAGAAATGGTGGAAAGAGAAGAGCGAGTGCACTCTACGCGATTTCGGATATCATACCCTGGAAACTCATGTCATCACGGAGAAAAACGCGTGGAATGTAGTAAATTTATCGTTATAGGCCGGCAATTCCAGATACATATATATATATACATGGATATATAATAAGTACAGCTATATTGCAATGAGATCAACACTTCGAAGAATACTTTTGATGGTAAACATTCAAAGAATAGTTGTAAGTTATCGAACGAGAGAGCACAGATTATTTATTTAATTAGAGTGATGGTTTCTCGGAAATTATTTTAAGATTCTGCTTATCATCCGTGTACATCTTCTCTTGAGAATTGTTACGCTGAGATTACATCTAGAAATTGATGATTCCAACGCTCATCGGCATTCGTCGTTGTCGCGACAGAATTGTGATCGCGTGGAATTGCATCTCAGAAGGAGGTCGTGGAGACGACGATGACGATGAGATAAGTACATTTTGCTCTTATCTTTCCGTGCGTGTGATGTCTAACAGGCTCTTGTTGGCGCACAAAGATGTAGAGGGGCTCGACCTTTAATTCAGTGCAATAGTGTTCCTTTAGGGGGTATCTAATAGAAGACACGTTATGTACAAGGGACATCCTCGAGAGAGACATCAGAAAGAGATTTTTCCCCAGCTCGTGAGAATGAAACAACGCGAAAGAAAACGAAGAGAGAAGAAGGGAGTGGAGAGAGAGCTCTACTGAACTAAATTACTGGAAGAACCCACACGTTACGAGGAGAATTACAGCTTATATAAATTAATTTTAATAAGTCTATCTTTGATTTCTTTAGGCGCGGGTGACTCTAGACTGGCCCCCTATATGTTTGTATTTTGATCACTTCCTGAATTAATTGCAGCACAGATTACACCTATATAGTCTGCCGTGAATGATTTACGTAAAAGGTCCATCTTGGATCCGGTTCCACAAACGTAAGATTAATTTTAATCTCAGTTTAACTTACTGCTTATCTTTTTCTAATTCTTTTTTACTACTTTCTTTTTCTAATCGTTTCTACTACACATACATTATATCTTTATCTCTTTCCAATTCTAGAAATGGAAAGAAATACGTTGAACCTCGGTTAAGAGTTAACCGTGAGTTGTTAAACTGAGCCTAAGAATTAGAGTAAGATGAATCGAGATTAAAGTTAATCTTACATCAGTGGAAGCGAGCTTCAGCTTCTCCTTCGGCAAATTAGCCCAGCGATATGACGGAGACGAGCAAGTTGCTTTTTGTAGAGTCGATGAGAGAAGCGAGCGAGAGCTGAGTGGTGGTGCGTTTCACGTGACAAGACACCACGTGTCTTAGTAAACGTAGGCGAGACGCGGCGTGTCGGTGCATGCGTGTGCGTGTGTCATCGGCGGAATTATTTAACGCGCTCGTAAAAACGCTTGGCGAGTTTCGCTGAGCGCAAACCTGGGTGCGGTGACCCTCTCGTAGATGCAATCATTCAGGACACTTTCATCGATTTCGAACGCGCGACTCCGGCGCGACGCGACGCGACGCGACGCAACGCAAAACGCATCGTGCCGCGTCGAATTGACGCACGTAGGACCGAAGGAACCACCCTCGGGATTACTAACCACGACCTATTTAACGAGGACAATGACGCTCTAACTCTACCAGAAAAGTATAGTCTGCTCCCACGGCGGCTCGTCCGCGTTCGATCGTCGGCGACCGTCGCCGCCGCGTTCCTGGGAAAAAATAGTCGCACGTACACTCACACACGGAGAGACCTACCCACTAAGGACTCGACGAGGAATTTAGTTTAAATTTTTTGAATACAATAGCGTTCTACCGAGGAGAGCTATGAAACTAAATAAGTCTATATTATACTCTATCGTACAATACAATGTAGTGAAATATTCGAGTACAGTACAGTACTAATTTTAAGTAAAGTATCTTTTTTTTTTGGGCGGATACGACTACTCCTCTAAGGCCTCGCTCATATAAATCTTCCCGTTCTCTTTAAATTAATTAAATCGAATCTCGTCTTCCTCCTTTTTCTTTTTTAAATCTTTTTAGTCCCACGCACATCCATGTTCTACTATCTAAGTTGAATAATAATGAGACTAGACGTGAGTTCGCCCCCTTTTTCATCAAGTGAATCGAAAGAATTCGATAGACGAAGATGGGAGACATGCACATCGATCAGTAATAATTATTCAATTCCGATAATGTTTCATTTACAATTCCTGAATAAAATTTCGCCTATCAGTCTAGTAAAACCGTCGGAAGAAATCGATAAATTCGCCAACCACGAGGTCAGAGATTTTACCAAGTCGCACAGCGAACGAACGAGCAAAGTTATCGCATAATACCGGACCCCGGCGCTTATCTAGCTAAAATATACATTCTATTAACACATCTCTCATGTCGGATGAAAACAAACAAAGTCGAAGTTAATACTGAGTCACAAAGTTAATACTGATGTTTGGCACTGCTTTACGAAATAATTGTGATGTCACGAAGGATTCGCGACGTGGCTGCAAAAAAGAAGAATCCTTCTTAGTTTAGATACTCACTTCCAATCCTCTTGCCGGGTCCGATTTGTCCGATTTTAGGTATCAAATAACCCGCGAATATATACGTTAACTCGATTAGAATTCCGTCAGACCTCCAAATCCTTTCCTTGCTATGCGCGATAATTGTAAGATTTAATACATATTATCTCGCGTTAAGTGGTCATTCTACGCCGAGAGTCCATCGAGCGAGTCTCTCTCTCCTTCCGCAGTCACAGAA